CATCAAAATGAAAATGCTGCAAAGTGCAGGGTAATACTGAAATGCGTCTGGCAGGATTGCACAAGTAGGAGCTAGGAGATTTGTTAATGGGCAGTGCCAGCTGTGAATTGGCTAGGTGCCAGGCTACATTCATATAAGTCTCTAATATCTTTATCTAATTCAAGTGTTTATCAGAAATGTCCAGTTATCTTAGTCTGCACAGTAAAATCATCATTCATTGTTTTAATAGCAGTAGTAGGTAACTTATATTTATGTAGCACCTTTTTTTTAATCAAATTTAGCATTTACGATTAATAACTGTATAAAAAAGCCATATTGTTTTTTTCATAATTCTAATATTTTTTATAATTTGCAAAGTATCTTGTATTCTGTCTTAAGTGAGTTACTCACTTTCGAGCTTTTGTTGAGTACATTTCAAAGCATCTTTACCTATGTTCTGAGGCTTTTGTTGTTACATTATTGCTCTATGCTTCATTAGCAAATAGGTGGATTTGGGATGTAGAGTGACATGGCAAAGTGTAACCAACTCTCTATGACAGGGTCTTTAATGAAGATATTAACTAAACTGCAAATGTCAAAGGAACTTTCCAAATATCTAAAGCAGTTTAGCTTGACCTCTTTTTTAATTTTCCAAAAAGTGCAGTTTTCAAGAGAAATTGTCACTTTTATAAATTGACCTTCTTACACCCCCCCTGGCTGTCAATCAGACAACTGATACTTTCACTTCCTGGTTTAATTAGCTCAGTGAAGCTAAACTCAGGAGGCAGCAATAGCACAGAGTACCTACCTTGTAAAGACTTCTCTTTGAACTGCAATGGGAATTCTGTGATTGGACAGCCACGGAAAGTCTGGGCGGGGTTAGAAGGGGGGGGGATTTGCAGCTTTTGCAAATTGTTTTTAGATAGACCTCCCAATGAAAAAATAATATGCATAATTAAAGGGCATATATACTAAACAGTGATTTGTCGTTGTTTTTTTCTTTTTGAGGGGCTGGAGAGGGGTGGCAGTGGAGCATCCCTTTAAGCCTTAGTAACCAAGCTGGAAAAATAGCTAACCTAAACAATTCCCCTATTTTGCCTTGGAATTAGTTTTTTACTGTTCTAACAGGCTACTCCTGACTGGCTGAACCAATACAGTGATAAAGAAACCTTCGAACAAGTTCAAGGAAGCTTTATATCCATCTAACAGATGGGATTTGCAGCCTTGACTTTCCAGGCAGAGAAGAAAGATTTTAAATCTGAAGTTTGAGATCTGAAAGCGATGAGAGAATGGAGGCAGTGGGTATTCTTTCAAGCTCTTTTCATGAACTAATCTCAGTTTTGTGCAGTTGGCTTTTTGTAGTGCACCTTTATACAGCAGACAATCACAGCGGCAGCCATCAGATCTTTATGGACAAATTCATTGGATATTGTGACTTGGAGAGGTGATACGGGGGTATTTAACACAGGTTCCAGGAATCTGGACTTCCTTGTGATGATGGCACCAGAAGCGTAATTCCAAAATGAACAGTAATATAAATATTTCGCTATATTGTTGTTTCAGTCTGATAAGTTTGTAGTTTTAAGACAGTTCAGACACCCGAAAGACAAGATTTTTAAAGATTGTAGGCATTGGGCACATAAACAGATTCTGCTGATGGGTACCTTCATGTGAATGCAATCTTCCATTTTAGTTTCTGGAATCTGTCTAAGAATTATTTAACTCCTTAATGACCAATGATGATCTATGTTACCATGACAATTGAGATGCCAGCAAAGTGTGCCATTTGGTCTTTGAGGTGTTAAATCATATGTAAGTAACTTATATTGTTTATTTTCCTGTGTTTTTCTAACAATGCCCATATCTGATTTTACAGTAGATGCATTTTTTATGGCATTGTCCCTACTATATTAATAGCAATGTGTTAATTAATTTATTAATTACTTAACCCTCTCAAACTCAACTAGATTGACTGTTGACAAAAATATGTTTCTGCTTTTAATTTAATTATTCATTTTATCAACCCCATTATGAATGAATGGGTAGACTGAGTGTGCTTCTAATTGTTCACTCAGTTGTGAAGTTTGGACAGGTTCATCAGTTGATACATTAACCAACTGAGTTATCTAAACCAGCTCCATCCACCTCATTTCCAAACATGTGTTATGTACCCTGGCCAAACCCCTTATTAAACACACCCCTAGTCATAAAAATGCTAAATGTCGGATACTTCAATAAACAGCTTGCATGTTTTAATTAAAATCTAAGAATCATATTGCTTGTTTTAATATTATATATGTTATTTAAATTCACAGACTGATTTGAGATTAAAATAAAACATGGCAAATGTGTTTCTGTAAAAAGAGAGAGGTAGAGGATGGACCCTTCTAAAGATATGGTGTCCCACCTATAGTACAAACATTGGTATCCATTCACTAAACAGTGAATTGTTCAGGAAACTAACTTGCACAACATATATTAAAACAGCTCCAATCCAGATTACATGATTTTTAGACTTGTGAATTCGGTTCATATGAAATCCCAAACTTAAAAAAGTTAGATGGATGAATCATGAAACAAACAAAACAGACAATGCATTAAATCAGTTTGTTTGTTTGTTCATGATTTAAAGTTCTGTTCATGGTGCCCAATGTCCCTCGGCGCTGGGTCAGCCGGCGGGGGAGACCTAATGCGCCTGAATACATAGCGTGAGGACGTCCCGCGTCGTATAACACACTTTCCGTGTTCTAAGAACACGGAAGTCCCTCTAGTGGCAGCCACTAGAGGAGGACTTAACCCTGCAAGGTAATTATTGCAGTTTATGAAAACTGCAATAATTACACTTGCAGGGTTAAGGTTAGTGGGAGTTGCCAGCCAGACCACTCCAATGGGAAGAAGTGGTCTGGGTGCCTGGAGTGTCCCTTAATAGGGAACACATGGAGTGGGAAGCATTGTAACATGACTGTGTGATACAAAACAGTTCAAATTGTTTTTCATTCAAGGTCCATCCATGTTATGAAAAAAAATACATCATTCTTGAAAAAGATGATGGATGGTTAAAGGACAGGCATTAAATAAAATATTGATTTTATTTTTTCATTTGGTTTCATACGAATTGCGATTTGTCCAAATTTTGTGTGAGTGATGGGTTGTTGGAATTCTGTAACTCTGAAACGCAATATGGCCAAATTATTATTTTATTCACAGATCCAGTTAGAAGTGGCCAGCAGAGGGAAATAAAAGATTAGCAGTAAAAAAATATCTTTCTATATTTAATAAATACATAATATAAAAATATTTTACGGTGAACCAAATGGTGTGAAAATAAGCTTATCCGTGTACTGTAAAATATAGACATATTGTTTATTTTTTTCACAAATCTCACAACAATGTTTTTTCCAAGTTAGTTGTTTTGGACTTAATTTTGCATGACGGTTGCAGAGTCACCTCATATCACAGTTCATTGAATAGATTTTATTGATGGTAAGAGATAGGACCACATCCTAAGACAGAGGTGCATGGCCAGTAGATGCACATTGTGATTGTGACTTAGATCTCATTGTTGTATCATGTGACAGATCAGATCTCAAAAGATCTGAGATGCTATCTCTAATTATATGTTTACTTGAAAGGTGATATCCCTGGCAAAGGGATGAATTAGTCTGTAGAATAGACAGGGCAGCAAGTTTATAATAAAACATAACAAGTTATAGCCAAATAGAAATAAAAAAGAAATTCTAATAGTGCCATTTAATGAAAGAGTATTCGATCATTCTAGCAATGATTCTATTAACTAATCATTTATTAGCATACTTAGCGTATTTAACTAATCATTGATTACCGGACCTTAGTGGTACTATGAAATCACATTTGCTACCCTGATAGAAAAAAGTTTAAGCATATAATCTATGTACACAGTTCACTAATAACATTAACTATAATCCTTAATACAGATAAAGGGGTATTTATCAAGGTAAACAGGTATTTTTGTGGGGAGAAAGTGCTAAATGTCTAGAGGCATTCTGATGGTTTCCATGGTAATATTTGGCACTTTGACCCAGAATAGTATCTTTTTCGGTCTTGGTAAATATCTCCCGTACTATGTACAAAAGTCATCTATTTACTAAACCCACTATTGTACCATGAATGGATTTAAGGAGGCAAAATCAGATGCTATCACCATGGAAACTAAGAGAATGTCTATCATCTTCTTTAGCACTTTGCCTTGAAAAATCTCAACCCATGGATTTTCTCTGGGAGTTTCTGCATTGCCAGTATTGATAATCTGTACTTTCATTAAATAAAATGATTTATTACATTTAATTCCCTTCTTTATTCTTGAGTATTTACGTATTTTTCTATCCATTTCCTGTTGAAGTATCTCAAGAATACAGTGTAATCTCTACTTAATTTACAGAACAAAGAAAAGGCTTTACTGGAAAATGTTATTGATCCAACTTGACTAACCCCTTAACGTTTGTTCTTAGTGGGTTCCACAGAACTTTCAGCTCTTTGAGTTTTTTTTTTTTTAAATGAGCTATGTGCTTACCTGGTTCCACTTGGGTCCATTATTAAACCAAGTCGTGTTGATAAAGCGCCATGCCTGGCGTAAAACACGTTCAGGGCATTCCGGTCCTTCCTTGGGTTACTTCTATGTGGTTCTTCACCATTCTCACAGGTGCTGTTCTTTTATCTTTTTTTCCTAGCTTCTGTTATACCTTTGGCACAGAGCATGTTGTTATCAACCTCTACATACTATATGATATTGGACTGGCGCATATAAGGACTGTTTTAGGCAATTTTTTGCTTGTATTTCTATGTTTTATATTTGTTTGCAAATAAATGTACATTGTCTAAAAAGATTGGTGTGCATTGGACGGTAGTACTAAGATCTGAGTGTGCGGACATTAGGGATCATTTGGGGATAAGCCATTACTAAACCAGCCTTGACCCCCATGCCCTGATGTGTAAATATACTCACAAAGATAGTCTTCTCACTGACCTGGGTCATTAGAAGGAAGATGACTGTAAGAAGACACTCCGTTCTCTTAGAACTGGTGCTAGAACAAGGTGAGAGATCTACCATCGTTTCCGAGTGGGAGCAGTATGTATACAGTTATTCTTTGATAGATTAAACAAGTTAGAATAATACATTCGTAAAAAGTTTTCTTACTGCATCTCATTACATTACAAAGAGAATAATAATAAAATAGCAATAATGAAAATTCCTATGAAAAAGTAAACATTGTTCTTTTTATGGCTTTTATTTTAATTTGTATACCTAATTTAACAGCAGATCTATCAGGGATAACCAATCAAATCTGTTACGTGTTGCTTTCCGTATGATACGCTTCTTGCTATATGCTGTTTTATGCACTGTTTTAAGGTTGTTATCTCAGTGCGTAGTATTTAAAATTATAGGTTTCACCTTCTGGTATTTCTGGTATTCAAATTGATACCTGGCTTCACTTCCTATTTAACTTGAGGTCAACCAACAGTCACGTTAGCTCACAGAGCTTTTTAAAATGGTCAGTCTTATATAGTACCTACCCTGTAACTTTAAAATGGTTTTACAACAAATAAACAAAAGAAAAACAACACAATATAGCTAGATTTTGAGAAAGATCTCAAAATAAAAAAACAAACCAAAACATAACAGATCTACTTTAAAAGACTTATTGGAAATATACTATGCTAAAATGACATTAATATTCAATACTAGTTTCTTATCTTTAAAGGACCACTATAGTGCCAGGAAAACATACTCGTTTTCCTGGCACTATAGTGCCCTGAGGGTGTCCCCACCCTCAGGGTCCCACTCCCGTGGCGCTGAAGGTAGAGGAAGGGGTTAATCCCTTACCTTTTTTCCAGAGCCGGGCTCCCTCAGCGCTGGGACTCTCCTCCCTCTTCTGATGTCCCTGACTGAATGAAAATCATAGTGAGAAGCGCGGAAGCACCTCTAGCGGCTGTCAATGAGACAGCCACTAGAGGCTGGATTAACCTTAAAGTAAACATAGCAGTTTCTCCGAAACTGCTATGTTTACAGCAGAAAGGGTTAAACCTAGCTGGACCTGGCACCCAGACCACTTCATTAAGCTGAAGTGGTCTGGGTGCCTATAGTGGTTCTTTAACCCGTAAGGACACGTGACATGTGTGACATGTCATGATTCCCTTTTATTCCAGAAGTTTGGTCCTTAAGGGGTTAAACAAGCTATTGTGCACATACACTTGTACTAGGTTTTGCAATTTCCCAGTTTTGTTTCGGTGTGGAGACCGATAAGATCTGAACACCAAGCATGACTTTTGAAAACACTGGTCTATCTGTGATCTATCTTATCTGTCTCATCGTCTAATTCTAATTGATCTGATGCCATAAAATCTACTTATGTTTGGTCAACGTAGAATAAACTATTTTGCTTCTTGAAAACATTGTGACCAAATATTTCACAGAATATTGAAAGTCACAAAATAAAAGAATATTAGACCACGGTTCTAATGAAATATCAGATGTTTTAATTTAAAATTTAATTTAAAATTACTCATGTTATCTCAATAAAAAATAAAATATAATATCTGTATTTGAGTATTAGTGAGATATTTTATCTGATAACCCGAGAAGCTATCCTATTTATGAATAATATTTTTCAGATTAATTTGTTGGTGTTTCTAGCGTTTACTGAAAGACTATCAGATAAAGTATACCTGTGTATGTTTGGATTGGGAGTCTTTGATTTTTAAGTGGTAGCGTAAGGTTCTCCTATTGGATTAAGGCCAATACTAATTTGTTTTAGATCCAAAGATTACATGGGAAAAATGCCTAGATTGAAAGTCCAAGGTTTTGTAAGGGATTATATATGGCTTCTCTGATTTCTGATTTCACCTTGATGGTGAAACCGAGGGAGGAAAGGGCGGGAGTAGAACACAATGAAACAGTGAGGCTGTAAGAAGTTAAAAAAGGAAAAGTATGTTCTATGTATTTTAAGAATCAAATCCCAGTGGAGGAAAACAGGCCGATTGCTTGTAACATTTGGCTGAAGAAGTGGGGACTTGGGTGCTTATTTATTACTAAATGGATATTTATCAAATTAAGTTATCCTTTGAACATTACTACAATTAGTCACCGGTTTCAGGGAATTCCTTAAAGAGCATTGACATTTTTAAGCTAATGAATGCTTAAAAATAAAATCACAGAAACACACAAAAAAAAAACCAAATAGAGATTTTCTGATAAACAAAGTACACTTGTGGGATTATTTTCATGTTAAAAAAATAGATCCTGTATTTAATGTTATCTCTATAATGTAATAATGGCAGGCAGAAACATGTAATTAAAGACAAAATGAACTATCTATGATCTATTGAGTTATAATTAATTTTTTTGACAGTGACATATTTTATAAGTATTGGTGGACGGTTTACTTTACTTTTTGTAAATTAAACTAAAGTATTTCTTAAGGTTCTCACCAATTAATTTAAAGCCGAAGTGGCTGCATTATTAGCATTGCTAGCAATTGTTTCGGTTCAAATAAAATTCCAGGTGGATTGCCAAATTCAGCAGTTTGTAAGTGTCTGAATTTTCAAATTCCTATACAACGAAATGAACTAAAAACAAATAATTTCAGAACAAATTGATCCAAAATTTTCTGGATCCATTCATTTTAAGAATGATAGCAAATTAGGGACTTGTCTATTAAGTAACTAAAACTGCAAAATTAAAAATATGGCTTTTTTTGCTCTATTAGCTGTTAAATAGATATCTCCCTAATTATGTATCCTTGGGCGGGATTGCCATTACTATGGCTATTAAGAGGAAAAAAATAATTGTTTTGGAACAAATCAAATTAGCTGAACCAAATTATTCTGCTGTGCAAAAGTCTACAAGAGATCATATCACAGTTTTTCTGTAATATCATGTTCTGTTAACGTGTCTATATTACATTTACTTTTTATGGCCATATTTTCCAAGCTGCAACAGTAGAATGCCAGTGGCCTGAACTTACATTGCTACTTAATCCATCAAGTAAATAAGAAACCGTTTCATAAATTGTGTATTGTGCTAAGATAGAGGCATAGCAAGCTGTTTTAAAGAGACATTATAGTAACCAGAACCACTACAACTTTAAGATGAAAGGCAGGTTTAACAATGTTTAGAGTGTCACTTAGACAGCCACTAGAAAGACTTCCTGGATGAGGTCCTGCAATCTTTGTAGAACCTACATTCAGCATCTCCACGCGCTGCATGGAGATACTGAATGCTCACGATAGTGATGCATTGATTCAATGCTACGCTATAAGAAGATGCTGATTTTCACAGAGTGGAAATTTTCACACATTCGCTCGAACCTAAAAATGGTTCCCTGTGGGGAAGCATTTGATTTGCTGAGATCATCAAGATTGATAGAGTGACTTTAACACATTCTGCCACAGATAGTTTTGCACCTTTATAAAAAAAAGTTTTTTAGGGGTATTATTTTCTGCTTTGGGTTTTTTGTCTGTTGCGTCCTTAGCATTCTATCCATGAATTTTTAAACTTATGCCATTTTTTTCAGCAACATTTAATTGCAATATTTGTAAATCTTCCACAAAAATTTCCAACAAAAAAAGTGTCCTGTCTTACTTGTGTTCTTCCCACCCTTCTAAAGATTAAAAAAGATTTTTCTGAAAATAAATGGTAGAATTTATGCCAAAAAATCTGTTACGCTTTAGACCATTTTGTAGTACAACAAATAAATATGATGGAACAAGAGACCAAAAATAAAAGACACTTTTCAGAACAGTTTGATAAATCCCCACAATGTTTCTATGATATTCTTCCTTCTGAATCTAATGAGAGTGTGCTAAACTCTAATTTTTATAATGTACTTGCTTTGTAGGAAACAGAAGCACCAGTCAATAGATTTCAACCAAGTTTAATTCCCCTGGTTGAAAGGAGGATACAGAAAATCAAGTGCGGTAAGAATTACAGTAAATTTATTGTGTAACCGTATTAGTTACCACTATGTACATTATGCTCCTTGTATTAGAAAGTAAGTTAGAAAGTAATTAGTTAGTTAGTAAGTTATAAAGGTAAAATAGAGTATACTGCTTTGGATATCGGTTAAAATATACAACAGGGGAACAACATGCACAGAAAAAGTAGTTTCACATCTTAACATCTTAAAAGACTATGTTGTAGTTTACTCAAGAGAAAAGTAGGGATTTTGTTACACCGCATGGCCATACCATGACACAGTACCCCAAAATCAGTGGGTCTTACACTTGTTTTGTCATAGAAAAACGCACACTTTCTGCAAAAAGCACTGCTTTAAAGGGACACTCCAGGCACCCAGGCCACTTCTGCCCATTGGAGTGGTATGGGTGTCAACTCCCACTACCCTACTAGACAGCCACTGGAGGACACTTCCATGTTTATAGAACACGAAAAATGTGTTATAACGGTGCTGGACGTCCTCACGCCTCATGTGAGGATCTCCAGCGTCGCCAAAATCCCCATAGGAAGGCATTGAAAGCATTATTCAATGCTTTCCTATGGGGAGGTCTATTGTGCATGCGCGGCATTGCCTCCCCATAGGTCTCCCCTGCCGCCGGCCACGCATGCACAATAGGTCTCCCCCGCAGGCTGACGAGGGACATCAGCGCTGGATACAGGTAAGTCACTGAAGGGGTTTTAACCCATACAAAAACTTGGGATGGGGGTGGGAGGGAGAGCAGCACATTGAAGATCATACTCTACTACAATAGTCCAAACCAGCCTTCAGTGACTTCTAATGAGGAACCTGGATGGTAGGGTGGGATCCATTGACTCATAAAATTACAAAATGGAGGAAGAAGTGGGAAATTAAATCACATTCACTATAGTTCACATATAGGTTATGTCTCTACCCCAGCAAAGAACCAGCGTAGATAAAAAAACGATATTACTCACTGTTCAAGACATCCAGAGTTCCTCTGTGCTGGTTCCTCAACATAACCAGTAGAACTAAACAGGAAACAATGTTCCAGATCACACTGCGAAGGATCCAAATAAATTCACAGGAACCATTAATATAGGGAAAATGTATAATGGTAAAAAAAATATTAGATGGTGATATCTACACCATGTTAATTATCAAACATATTTTTAAAAGAAACGTCAATACATCAAACAACAGAATTAGGTGGGGACAGAAAAAATATATAAATATTAACCTACTGTAGGATATCACAATCTAATATTTTTATACAGTAATACATTTTCCCTATATGGATAATTCTTGTGACTTTAGCTAGGACATATCTGCATCCTTTGAAGGGTTGGCCAAAACCTCAGATTTTGACTTATTCTGAAAGTTTGTCCTGAATATCTAATTGTGTGATTTTTACTCATCTCACGTTTCCCAAGTTCACCGGTATAAGTAGCGTTCTATTAATTGTGCAACTAGTTTTAACCAGATTGGAATTTTAAGGTTATCTTGTGTATACAGATGACCTGTTATACGTAAATCTGCTTGATTTAACAATAATAATACCCCAGAATATTCAGTGTGCAATTAATAGTGGAAGATCTAACCTTTCAATGATTTTTAAGACCGGTGAGTAGGAAATTCTGACTGTACTAATTGCTGTATAAAGTTATTTAATTAAATTTTTTCATGCGTGATATGACATTAAACATCTACTGTAAATATCCCCCCATGTCAATGTACTGTTAGTGAAATCATTTTGCCATCAAACGGCGCAGTCAGGCGTTGTGTCCACACCTGCTTTACCAGGTGTTGTAATAAAGCGATCGACCTTTAGAGGAATTTCTCCGAGCATACTTAAAGAATGTAATATGATCTCCCTAAATTGCACGGACATAAGGTTTGTTGATTTATTGTCCGTTTGTGACAATAACTTCAGGAACGTTTGCCGGCAACGTTACTCTTATTCTTTTTGAGGTTGATGGGGAGCAAGCTGATATTTTCTGTAATTAATTCAAAAGAAAAGCATACTTGTTCAGGATAGGTCAAAAATCCAAAACCACTGAGTTAGTAAAACAATCATGAATGCTTAACGTTAAATTAATCTCATCAGTCATCATCATCTAACATTAAACATCTAACATTAGACATTTGAGTGATTTAGACTTTTGACTAACACACTGCTTCACCCTGAGTCTAAAGGTGAAAACCAAAGAAAAAGTCACCTGCGCACTTCCCAAATCCCCATGAATATTTAAATAAATGGAGGTTATTTAGTTACTCCAATGGCCATTAGATGCATGCCCACCTGCCACGTCCAGGCAAACCTCTCAGGTGGGTCCTACACTAACTATTCACCTTGCTTCCTTGAGCTTCAGGCAAATAAATCTCTAATGAGACAGAAAGGGGTGTTTTTCTAAACCCCTACATACATATTACCCCTTAATCGGGAACACATAGGGTGGGCGGCAGCACTGTAACAGAGCTGTGGGATACAAAAGTGAATACAAATACACAAAAATAAGTCCTGCACTCAAACTCCCATCACTCCTGGGCGGCAGCAATGACCATAGTATACATCAGCCCCAATACATGCAGTAAAAACCAAAGAAAAGAGTTACACTTCCCAAATCGATATGCATATTTAAATAAATGGAGGTTATTTAGTAACTCCAATGTGTCTAAAGGTAGATAAACAAATGAAAATAGACAGATAGGTAGAAATACTACTTTATTGTTATATTGACGGGAAAACCCCCACTTGTTATTATTATGTAATATTGTAGCTGAATTAGAAATAATTGTGTTACTTATATTTTTCTAAAAGTGGTTGAAATACAGTCTACTTTGTAGTCAATACCAGTCTAAGGTGTACTGTAATATACACCTTCACCTGATGCTGAATACTTTTTTTGTACATATCGATGGAGTCTGTAAAGATTATAAACTTGAAATCAATGGAAACGCAAAACTTGGTTTGAATTGATTCAAGTGAGCACTTGACAAAAATTTAGCTACTCCTAAACAATCAGTCTGATACTGAACACTATGCTCAACAAAATCTCAAACACAGTGTACACACAGGACATGCAGACTATATATACATAGGACACGTTGATTGTATATACATAGGACACGTCGATTGTATATACATAGGGCACGTCAATAGCATAAACACAGGACACGTTGATTGTATATACATAGGGCACGTCAATAGCATAAACACAGGACACGTTGATTGTATATACATAGGGCACGTCAATAGCATAAACACAGGACACGTCAATTGTATATACATAGGGCACGTCAATAGTATAAACACAGGACACGTTGATTGTATATACATAGGGCACTTGAATAGTATAAACACAGGACACGTTGATTGTATATACATAGGGCACGTCAATAGTATAAACACAGGGCACGTTGATTGTATATACATAGGGCACGTCAATAGCATAAACACAGCACACGTTGATTGTATATACATAGGGCACGTCAATAGCATAAACACAGGACACGTCGATTGTATATACATAGGGCACGTCAATAGTATAAACACAGGACACGTTGATTGTATATACATAGGGCACAATTGTTCAAATCACCTACATGTATCACCCCAAAAAGTGCATACTATAAGATGAAAGAGTGTATCAAATGAGAAAATAAATATAAAACATTTTTACATACGTTCATACTGTGGTGGCGTGCTATTTGTGTTCTTTACCTACTTTATTTGGGATACATTTTGACATGTTGAGTGTTATTTATCTTATTGTATTATCAACCACTCACGGGTTAAAATTTAGATCACTTGAACAATCTAATTAATGAACTAAGCACAGAGCAGCAGTTTAAATGTTCCATTAATAGCTGATTTTACACTGGGCAGACTAGATAGGCCGAACGGTTCTTATCTGCCGTCAAATTCTATGTTTTTCCGAATGATAACTACTAAGTAACTCTCCCCCAAGTTCTCCCTAAATCAGCTCGAGGAACAGTTCATGTGTTGACTGGCAGCAGTGCCAAATAATTCCCCTCTCCATAATTATGGCACTGTCAGTGTAATGATGTCACCAGATTATAGTATGTTTGCACACTTTCTACAGAAGGTAAAAAAGTAAGGAATGTGTAAAACAAAATCTGTAAATTTTACAGTAATATGTTCAATTAAGACTGATACACTTTTTATAATCCAACCTCCTTGATAGGAATAATGTACTACTAATATTTAAAATATTCTGTTATCCTGAATGTGTTTCCCTTAGAGTCACTGCCGTGCTTCAATGGAGGAGAATGTATACAAAAGAAATTCTGTGACTGCAGCCGGTATAATGCGTCTGGGTCACGGTGTCAGATAAGTGCGTTATCTTCATTTTTTTTATATCCTTTGCAGTAGAAGCTAATCTGTTTTAAATCTATGTTCCAATGTAAATACCATTTTTTTTTTGTTTTCAGTATACAATGTAGGTTCTGAGAGAGACAATATATGCCGAACATGGGGCCAATATCATTTCGAAACATTTGATGGAGTATATTATTTTTTCCCTGGAAAGTTTACATATGATCTACTACGTCAAAATGACCCTGATGAGCAAAGTTTTTCAATACAGGTAAACAAACAGAAACATTGATTATTAGTAATTTATTTATTTTTATTTAGAAAGAGCAAACGGTACCAATAAAAGAAATATCAACATAGTGTGATATATTATCCCACCCCCCAAAAACCCAAATAATAAGAAAGTCACAATGAAATACAGCGGATTTCAGTAAAACTAATACCTCAAAATATAACAATCACAAGATGAATCTAAAAGATTGCACAAAAATTATAAAATTATGTGCCAGGTTGTATCCTATCTATCTATCTATCTGTCTATCTATCTATCTATCATTTTATCTATCCGTCTGTCTATCCGTCCGTCTGTCCGTCCGTCTGTCCGTCCGTCCTTCTGTCCGTCCATCCATCTATCTATCTATCTATCTATCTATCTATCTATTTGTCTATTTGTCTGTCTATCTATCCATCCATCGATCCATCCATCTATCTATCTATCTATCTGTAATTTTTATAGAATTACAGGACACATCTCTAAAATTAGAAAGGTGTGGTTGCAGAAAAAAACACTGACAACAAAACTTAATTAAAGACATAAATACAAAACAACTAACATTTACAGATTTATGCAGATTTATTAATTTGCAAGAAAGGAATAGATTCAATAAATATAAAGTTATTCAATTACAAGAAAGGAATAGATACCACTTTAGCACACAGAGAAAAAAAATATCTGCAACCTTTTTATTAAAGGGACTCTCCAGTGCCGGGAAAACATATCCGTGTTCCTGGCACTGCAGGACCGTGCAGTGCCCCCCTCCCTCCCACCCCAATCCCATGTTGCTAAAGGTGTTAAAACCCCATAGTGACTTACTTGAATCCAGCGCCGATGTCCCTCGGCGCTGTGTCAGGCTCCTCCCACTTTCCACGCAATGGTCGCAGACGAGCATTAGACCTCCCCTTAGGAAAGCATTATTCAATGCTTTCCTATGGGGAATTCCGTCAACTCTAGAGGTCCTCATGCATAGCGTGAGGATGTCCAGCGTCATTTAAGACACTCTTCGTGTTCTAAGAAAATGGTAGTCCCTCTAGTGGCTGTCTGATAGACAGCCACTAGAGGAGCAATTAACCCTGCAAAGTAATTATTGCAGTTTATAAAAACTGCAATAATTACACTTGCAGGGTTAAGGGTGGTGGGAGTTGGGCAGAAGTGGACTGGGTGCCTGGAGTGTTCCTTTAACTAAAAATAGAAAACACAACTATTGTTCTTAAATACATTCCTTGGTTATTACATCCCCTGTTACCTTTTGCAGTAATTTGTGCTCTAAAAACAAACTAATTTTTGATCCGTAGAGAGCTGGAAGACTTTCCATTCCTGATGTAGAGAACTAAAAAACATTAAACAGAGACAGACGAAAAAAGGGAATGAATGGACCTTTCTAGCCAAATGTTGTTTTTTAATCATTGTACTGAAAAACAAGTCTTCAAAAATGATCAGTTATTATTATAAGTTCAATGTTCTTGAACCTGAATAAGTGAACGTACATTGTTAGCAAGTTGCTACCAAGTAGAGATCAAATGTTATCAGATCAACATCTGTTTGGTCTCCGGACCAGATATTGTATTATATTTGGTGGTACTCATCTCTATCCATTATAATAAATTGTACTTAAATGGCCTAATGTTAAAGTTGATTGACATTGGCATGTAATATGATGTTCTTTATCCCAGAACAAGACACATTTTCAGAAGATGAAGATTTAGATGATAATTTAATACATAATTGTTGAGATATTTTTTCTTTTTGTTTGAACTGTCATTTGTAATAACCATAATTTTACTGTCATAGACAAAGATATTCATCAAATTCTGGAACTCGTAGGTTTTTCCGTCCCTCTTCAACCAAAGGACAATTACATGTTTGAATGCTACAATGTTGGCAATGCTTTTAACAGTTGTTCTTGACCTTTAGACCATGAGATAATTGGCCCATTCTTCATTTGTAATATAGTTTAATTCTAAATACATTTTGTGTAAAAAATTTAGACGCTTCCCCGTATCAAAAGGTTCTCTAGTGCAATAGGGAATTAGGGATACTACAGTAAACATTATATTGTGGACAATTGCACTGAAGTATGATGAATATGATGTAGCTGTTCCTACAAGTTGAAACCCAGTGAAATTAAATACGGAGTCATTCTTAACTCCCGTTTGTGCATTGCATGACTTAAAGGGACTTTCATTGCCCAAATACAAATGAAAAATAATCACAGTTTACTAGATATACCCCCAATTAAAAAACTGCATTAATTTAACTTATTCATTTTTTAATTGGGAGTTTATCTAAAACTAGCGTGCAAAATCTGCAGAAATCTTGTCTGCAGCCTTTGCAGCTAGGGGGTGTATCAAGGTTTATTTATAAAAGTGCCAATTTCTATTGAAATCTGCACTTTTTGTAAAATGAAGAAAAGAGGACACACTCTTCCACATAGAGCACTTCAGCAAGCTCGCTGTAGTGTTAATGATGTCAGGAGTATCCTTGCCCTGTTCCCCGGTAATGAAGTGAACCATTTTGTAATGGTTTACCTTCTTACCTGAGTCCCACCAGATCCTTGATCTTCTTTGTAGACAAATTTGCGACATCCAGCTTCTGTAGAGCTACAAAACCAGATGTCGATCCTGCCATCCATTGATTGGCTGATAGTGTCAGATGATAGCCCTCAGCCAATCACTCAACATCTGTACATCAAAATTTGCACAGAATTGTCATTAAGACACACGGTACTCTTGTTTTTGTTCTGATGACGCCACCATGATGCACCCAGAGGTGGAGTTACACCTTCAGCAGTAGAAGGCTTGATTTCTTTATGCTCAGTTTTTTATCCTGGAATGCTGCACATATAGACTCCATGACCATTTCAAATCACCAAAGGGGTCATGGTGCTTTGAGTAACCCTTTAACTGCACTTTGTCAAAAGACGTTTGTGTCATCTGTCAGAATATAAGCATTGAGAGAAAAAAAGCAAAGAAAAAAAAAAACTTTTGTATCTTTGTAGATAAACAAATTTTATACAATCTGTTTTCCCATTACATCTCTTTTGTGTTTTATTAAGGCGCACAATGATCCTGATTGTCATTCCTTCCCATATTCCTGTAAACGCTCATTCGGTTTATATTTTTCTGGAGAAGGTGAAATAAAGCTTCAAAACCACAAGGTCCAACACAATAACCACAGGTAATTCATTTATTTCATGATTTCTGTATATTTAAAGTTATAAACACCTCATTAAATCCAACCTTCATAATGGTGTATCGGCATAACCAAAAATTTGTTTTTTATTTAACAAATATGTATTAGTGAGGTGTAAGAAATAAAATTAAATGTAAAAATCTACATCTCTTTATTCGGCAACTGGACGTCTCCAAATAAAAATAAAATGAAGCATCTCTTAAAAGAAAGTTTAACACGAATTATAGGTGACTTTCAATGTTTTAATAAATGGTTTAAATTCCAGAGAAGTGATAGTTCCTCTGCGTCACACTGGAAACGATAATTATTGAATCTCACTTAAGAGTTCCCATAGTTATTTTACAGCATATTGTATGTAAAGACCAGGAGGGGATGGATAGAGTAGAATATCTCATGTTAAAACCAAGTAAAGGATTGTTTAAAGGGGATCCATAATTTCTAGAATGCTAGGGCAATATGGAACAGGACAGCAGCGGGTAACCCGTTAAATTAGATTGTTAGCTCTTTGAGCAAGACCTTCTTCACCTCTTGTCTCCATTCTTATTTTGTATGTCAATTACTTGTTCCCCATTGTATAATTGTAAATCTATGTTCTATTTTATTTATAGGGTGCAACTACCTTTTAATGCTGGAAACCTCCAAATACAGAAAATATCTGGATATGTAATAATCAGACTGCAGTATGTGTTCACGCTGGCGTGGGATGGGAAATCCTCAGTTTATATCAAGATGAGTCCGGATTATTTAGGGAAAACCCATGGACTTTGTGGCAATAACAATGGAATTTTACAGGATGACCTTGTAACAAGCTATGGTGAGTTTACATTCAAAATGCATTAAAGGGAAGCACACAGATACAAGACCTGGGACATTGCCAACTGTAAAGGGTATAGGGGCTGTAATAGGTGTAGAAGCTGAAGGGATTGTAGGCGCTGTAGTGGGTTTAGGGGCTGCAGGAGATATAGTGGGTGCATGAGATATAAGGCTGTAGTGGGTGCATGGGGTATAGGAGCTGTAGAGGATATAGGGGTTGAATGATGTGTAAGGGGTATAGGGGCTGTAGTAGGTGTAGGGGCTATAGGGGGCTTAAGGGTTGCAGGAGGTATAGTTGTTGCAGTGGGTGCAGGGGGTAATAGGAGCTGTAGTAAGTGCAGAGGGTAATAGGAGCTGTAGCAAGTGCAGGGGATATAGGGACTGTAGTGGTATAGTTAACACGGTATAGTGGGTGTAGGGGTATAGTGGCTGTAGTGGGTGTAGGGGTATAGTGGGTTGCAGGGGGCACATAGGCTATAGAAAGTGCAGGAGATATAGGGTTTATATTGGATATAGAGGCTGTAGTGGCTGTAGAGGCTATAGGGGTCTTTGGGGCTGCATGGGGTACAGGGGTTGTAGTGGATCAAGGCTGTAATAGGAGCTACAGTAAGTGCAGGGAGCACAGGGGCTGTAGGGAGTTGAGGGAATATAGGGGCTGTAGTGGGAGTAGGGGGGTAGGGCTGTAGTGAGTGTAGGGGCTATAGTTGGTGTAGGGGTTGCAGGTAGTATAGGGACTGTTGTAATTGCAGGGGATATAGGGTCTATAGTAGGTGTAGGGAGTATAGTAGTGGTTGTAGGGGCTGAAGGGATTTTACGGGCTGTAGTGGGTATAGGGGCTGTAGTGGGTATTGGGGTAGAAGGGGGTAGAGGGGAATGAACAGGAACTGTGATGGGGCAGTAGTGGAGAAAAGTATACATATTTTTAATTTTAAAAATTTATAATTTATTCCCCCCTTCCACGAGCCTTACTGTTTGGCCAGAGAGGGCGGAATCCTAATCCCGAGTGGTCTGGCTGGCGCACACGTATGCTGTCTCTCACTGTCATCCGAGCTCAGATACTGCATGCTGCCTGTAACACTGATCAGTGTAGCACCGCATGGCTCGCTGAACTCTGACACATGATGTTACTTTGTGCAGAACGAGCCACACGGAGCTGCCCTAATCAGTTTTACAGACAGCCATCATTCTGTTTTCATATTCCAGCCATCATGATTTAATTTAAAAAGTTTTGCAAGTCGCATTGGGTTGCATGCTGCTCTCAAGCCTTAGATGACGTAGGATGTAAAGCATATCCAAAAAGTTCTGATAGAAAGCTGTGGAAGCACCAGGGTTGGCTATTATTGGCATTTTATATATATATATATATATATACATGTAATATTTTTTAGCATGTCCTATTCTAGCAACCTAATATTTGATGTTAGAAACTTAACTCACTTACTTGGGAAATATATTTATATTTATAAGTAGGAGGGAGAGAGGTTTGAATCGAAACAGGAGCGCCTCTTTGACTTGTGATATAAATTGTAAATTAATTCAGAAAAACAATATATATATAATGTTCATTCATTAAGCAGGGAGCTGGAAAATGTACACTTAAAGAAAAACATGAGTTTGACAATATCGCCAGTAATCCAGGCCTACTATGTGACTGACGTATGGGTTGCACAAAGTCTTCCTGATTAGATGACGGAGCAGCTCTGTCACATAGTGTTATGAGTGCCGAGGCCGAGTACATTGGGAGCACGTGTTTAAACTGCACTTAAGATAAATGACACGGCTTGATTGGCTGCTTAGATTGTAAGGTTTTTAACTTTTATAGTTTGCTGTGTAATGGGTATGGGGATTTAGGGAGAGGACACCTTTAAATAGGTGGCAGAATTTATTCTAGAAATGTTCGAAGATTAACGTTTATTAGATTTGAGCATGGAAAGATAAACTGGCTCAGACAAACAATTTTTTACAAAAATAGAGCACTCTTCATGACATCCGAGTTTCAACCGAGCTGTGATTAAAAACCACCATTTAGTAACTGTACCCTAGCCAGCAATTTTTTTTGTGTCATGGCCATAAGACAGAATCGTGAACCGACGCAAACATGTTCGGCATTGTGCGTTTCAGGTGGGCCTTGATTCAGGTACATTTTGGGTATTAGTTCAGAAATGCAATCGATCATCCTGTCCACCCAAATCTAGTAGTAGTTGTATGTAGTGTGTTTGAATGTAGGGGTGTGTTTGTATGTAGTCATAGTGTTTGAATGCAGGGGTGTATTTGTGTGTATAATGCTTACATGTAGGGCTGTGTTTGTATGTAGTGTTTGTGTTTGAATGCAGGGGTGTATTTGTGTGTAGTTTTAGAGTTTGAATGAAGGGGTGTATTTGTGTGTAGTTTTAGAGTTTGAATGAAGGGGTGTATTTGTGTGTAGTTTTGGTGTTTGAATGCAGGGGTGTGTTTGTATACAATGTTGACATTTTAGTACAGGGGTTTGTTTGTATGTAGTGTTGGTATTTGAATGCAGGGGTGATTTTTGCATGTAGCGTTGGATTTGATTGCATGCAGTGTTAGTGTTTGATTGGAGGGGTGTGTTTTGTATTTAGTGTTGATGTTTTGAATGGGATCTATGAACATATACACATATGCAGCCACACACACAGTGACACAAATACACACTAAAACACAGATACACACACTGACACACATACATATACTTACACTTATACACACACACAGAGATAAACATACACACTGTTCTACATACACACAGATACACATACGCAGTGACACACACATATACACATACACACATGTCTAAATTAACATATATTTAGCCACCCCACTGCTTCCATACCTTTTGTGTGCAGAAGGGTGTCTTCTTCAGGAAGCAGTGCTCTCCCTCCTCCCTCTCTGTTCCTTCTGTGTCCTTCTAGCCCATGCGGTCTGTTAGCAGGGAGCAAGTAACAGGTAATCACTGCCTCCAAGCGTTGGCTGCCAGCATTAAAGGGAACCGTTCATGCTGCTGAAGGGCCGCATCACCCAAATGGGTCTCTTATCTATTGGGTTTGCCCTAAGTGGATGGGCTACCCAACGCCTGTGTGCCTTGGCAGTAGTTTCGCCACTGTTCAGCATGTAATGAAATATACCCACACTGCACATTTTGCCCTGGAATGCTTCAGCAAAGCTTTGCACATAGGCAGCCCTGAAGACTGGCAGGGATTTTAATTAATTTTAAATTTACTTTAAATTCTGTACAAATTACATGGATTTGGATCACTAAACATTGAATTGTAGTGAATTGCAAAATTCCTACTAAAATAGCTCAGACTGAAAAACTCTTTAACTTAGGTCTCAATTTAAAGGACCACTATAGTGCCAGGAAAACATGCTTGTTTTCCTGGCTCTATAGGGTCCCTGGGTCCACCACACCCTCTCCTCCTCTTTTCCCGTCATCGGCTGAATGCGCATGCGTGGCACGAGCCACGCACGTATTCAGCCAGTCTCATAGGAAAGCATTCTCAATGCTTTCCTATGGACGCTGGCATCTTCTCACTGGGAAAAGCGTCAATGAGACAGCCACTAGAGGCTGGCTTAACCCCACTGTAAACATAGCAGTTTCTCTGAAAATATATTGATATATTTCTCTGAAACTGCTATGTTTACAGCAGAAAGGGTTAAAACTAGAGGGACCTGGCACCCAGACCACTTCATTGATCTGAAGTGGTCTGGGTGCCTACAGTGGTCCTTTAATAGTTTTGGATACGCTTTTCAAATGATTTTGCTAAATTCTTCATATTTTAAAATTGTGATATATGGGGAGGGACCATACCCCCTTGCTCAGTAAAAAGAATCCCGTACTCTGACCCCCAACGAGACGAGATCCAAGATCAAGAGAGCACTAACGCTCTCGAAATGGGTACCCAGACCACACACAATAAGACTAGGCATGTGCAATTTGTTTCGTTCCAAATGTACATTCGTACAAATTTAGTGAAATTCGGACATTCGGATGCTTACAAATGTCTGAAGTTCGAATTGACGAATTTCCGAATTAGCGAAGTGCGGAATTTTTCGAAGTGCCAAACCGAACTGAATTGCCAAAGTTCCGATTTGCTGAAGTTCCGAAATGCTTTGGATTTCTGAAAAGTGGCAAAACGAGTACTTAGGATTAGGGGTTTAGGGTTAGGGGTTATGGGTTAGGGTTAAGTGTAAGGGTTTGGGCTGGGGTTAGGGTTAAGGGTTAGGGTTTAGGGTTAGGGTCCGAATAACCAAAGTTCCGAATTGCTGAAGTGCCGAATTGACGAACCGAATGCCATTGGTCAGAATTGCCGAAGCAGGCAAATTTTTTTTACTTACCCGTATTTTTTAACCAAAATAAATTTTTTGCCCATGCACATCCCTAAAGACAACCCCAAGTAACACAGACAGAACCTAACCAAAGGTCTAGACCAGTAACCCCCAGGCCCTGGATCCATTTCCCACCCTCATATATTTCTACCCTATCTTTCTTCTTCTCCTATGCTTATACCTGCAACACTGATTATCACAAACAATGACGAGGCACACAGTCTTTAACAAAATTAAAAACACCACCTACAACACTCGTCAAAGGCACTATGGTATTACAGGTTTGGTTTGCATATGTGCGTTAAAGTTCATTTATATCTATGTAAAAAACAAAAAAACCTTGTCGTCTGAGAGCATTTTGTACATATTGAAAAAAATGATGACCCTCCACAATGGCAAAAGTCGTATATGATAACTTAAATTGTAATCCTTGTTTGTAAGATACACAATGTAATCAACTTGGCAACATACTGTACTATATGTCTTGATCTGTCTGATGGCAAACCAATATAAGGAATTATAAAAATATTTTTTTTTTAAATTGTGATATTGTTCAATATATTGATATATTTTTAAATATTATCTATATTTTTAATTTTACTAGTTTGAAAAAATGTATAAAAAATGTATAAAAAATATATTGAATAATTTGAAAGGCATATACACAAATATTAAGTTAGAAAGTTTTTCCATATTATTATTATTATTATTATTTATATAGCGCCAACAAATTCTGCAGCGATTTGCGAGTTGTTTGAGCATAACATTTCCTTTTCAGTTTGCAATTCACTACAGCTCATTATTTTGTGAATGAACCCCACACACTAATGACTACCCCTGTTGATTTCCTCTGAATACGTCAGAGGAGATCCTCACTAATAGCTTACAAAATGTCCTACATAATCTCTACTGATTTCATGTAATCTGAGAATTTCTCACTGAAGGAGCAGATAGAAAAGTGGGCAGAGCCTGATAACCTTTTAGTGGCAAGTAGAATATTTATTGATCTGTCTGTAAATGTATGATTGATATAATATTGAAACCCATTAATTGTATTTTCTATGTTTCTTTTCAGGAAAACAGACAGAAAATGTCGAAGAATTTGTAAATAGCTGGAGAGAGAACATTCCACATGAAGAATCTCTTTATGGGGTTATCTCTTTTTATGAACCACCATGTCCAAAAGAAAACCATCATGTAAATATGGTGAGTGCATATAAAGACACGTCTTACATCTTTCCTTTAGACAATTCTTTATCATCCTGTAATTCTGGTGTCCTGATCCAATCTATCTTGCAAAGTATCAAAAATCTTATTGCTCTCTACACATACTCCATTGACTGCCAAGAAGTTGTCTAAAACCTTAGTAACACAGTCAAAAATAATTGATATTTGACTGGCATGATTTTCAAAATATTAATTTTTATTACCTCTAATAACTGGAGAACAATTAGTTTCTTTACTAATGACTAGTTCCCCAATGTCAGGTGTAAGACTCACTGGACTGTATTTACCTAAATACACCTTAAAGGAGAATGTCATAGCCTAGGAAATATTTACATTATAATTAAGAAGACACATGTTTATGTTCAGAAGTTTGTAAATTTACTTTGGGCATCAATGTTAGAAAATTTGTGTGGCAATGTAAAACCCTTTCAGGAGGTACATACGTGGCCAAATCTTGGCACATTATGTGAGGTCCCAGATAATACTTGTTATTCACTGAAGTGAGAATTTTCAGAAAATGTAAAGAAAGTAGACTTGTGCATGGCAAAGATTTTAGGTTAATCCAATTTTTAAAAATGTTTCTTTGGATTGGAAAAAATTCAGCCGAAAATAATTTGGTTGGCTGCAAATTCTATTTGGTTTGAAAAAATGTCAGGGGAAGGTTAGATTTACTTACCTAAACCTGTCACTCGCAGGCACCACCATTTTCTTTTGACTTGTCCCAAGAGCAAACATCACTGCTGCACACTCGTGCATGTGCGATAGTACAGCATTGAGGTCTTTGGACCACCACACGAGACCATAAGATCCTCCATAGACACAGCTAATATCTCTGCATCTGTCATGGTGAAAGCTGGGAGACAGTTTGACATTTTTGGCCTTAAATTTTAAATTCACTTTGAATTCTTTAGGAATTCACAACAATTTCCACTTTAGTAAATAATCGTGTGAGAGTTTAGATAAGCCAGATTAAGAGATGTTACATGTCATTGTTCCATGTATTACAGTTTTTAGAAGGATAATACTCTTCTCTCTCTCTAGATGGCTAATTCTTTGTGCAGTTCACTTTTACAATCTCCATTTGAAAGTTGCCACGAGTCCGTGAGCCCTTCTCCATTCCTGGCCAGCTGTACAAATGATTTGTGTATGTAAGTAACAAGCTGTGTACGGGATCCACCATGCTTGGCACAAACACTTGTAGCAGGGTTAAACATTCTCAAACCATGGAACTTCTCCTTTTCAATTACATTTCTCTTCATTTCAAATGTTGACTTGATGTTTTGATCATGTCTAACTTATAATTTGAGTTGCAACATAAAATTAGCCTTTTGATTATTTGTATTAGGAATCTGGGCCTAATAACAAAGCCAGTGAGTGTATGTAAAAGATAAAAAAAGGCAAATACACAAAACTCATTGGAATTTGCCAGGAGACCACAGGGGATGAGTAATAAGAGACCTTCTCTATTCCTAAAATAAAATGGGCTATGGAGTACCATAACAGAGTTTGTGGAAGGTGGGATCTGCACTGGAATTGCTTCTTCTAAACCTTTAAAATGCATAAAGAGTTGGGAAGTTTTTCTGCATCAGTATTAATTCCGTGCCCATTAAAGTAAGTGGTAGATTGTGGCTTTGAGTTTTTTTTATTGAAAGCAGTGCCAAATACAGCATGATATAGGGCTTACAATGCTCTAGCTCAGGGATAGGCAACCTTCGGCACTCCAGATGTTGTGAACTACATCCACCATAATGCTCCTACACCCATAATGCTGACAAAGCATCATGGGAAGTGTAGTCCAAAACATCTGGAGTGTCGCATGTTGCCTATGCCTGCTCTAGCTGGTTCCTCTTTAATCAGTAATTGGACAAACTATTTGAATAATATATTTCTTTTTTTTTTTAAATGTGTGATAAACAAGGTCTGAAGGAGACATAGCGGCTTGGTGTAGAGCTTTAACAGAATACGCCAGAGCATGCGCTCAAGCTGGCAACCCGCTACCAGACTGGAGGATGATGTATACACAATGTGGTAAGCAACATTTTGTATATGCCATCTGCATGTGAGAGGGAAATGTTCTATTACATATGTTTTCTATTTATATTCTCCATGAACAATTAAGAAAATGTATATTGTTAAATCGGAATCTTATGTGTGAAATTCAGCTTATGTAAAAGAACACAGTTCAAGAAGTTCCAAAATATCTTTACATTTTTTTTAACTTTTTCAAGGCTTTTCAAGAATACAAGTCTGCTGTTTCTTCGTTTTTCATTGCTGATCTTTATTTAGTCAGTGACCATCATTTAAATTCTTATTCTGTTCTGGTTAGATAAAGAGACTTGGAGGTTTGTCCACTAATGAGTCCATTATTTTCTAAGATGATAATACTATTAAATGATCATACTGGGGCTATTCTCTCACATGCCTTGCAGTTTCCAGACTTTATTGAGTCCATTAATGACTCAGGTCTAAGTTTCATATGATGCTATAGGTTTGCACTTTTCCTTAACAGAGATCACGTGTGAGAATGATTTAGTCTACAGTGAGTGCATCAACTGCTGCCCAAGCTCCTGTCAACAGAGGAAGTCATGCATCGACAATGAAATTGCCTGTGTGGATGGCTGTTACTGCCCGGAAGGTATTTTATAATTTCCTGTTTTTTATATTCTAGACTTTTTTTAAATTCAATTATATTTAACTTTGGCCCCAATTTAATTTTTCTGAATAAGCTTTTCAAATGATTCAATATTTTTGGCTGAACATTTAAAATGATTTAAATTATGAAAAAAAATAATATTTTAATATTTTGATAGTTTTTTTGACATATTGATATATTTGATATATATGATATATTTTTTACAATTTTAATGTTTTTAAAAAAGTTTATCCAAAATAGTGAATCATTTGAAAAGCTTATTCAAAATTATTTAATTGAGGTCTTTTTCTTTTCTCCATCTGTTCTGGGATTTATTCTACTAAAGGAGAAGGACTTCAAAATTAAAAGTGCCACCTAAATCCTACCTTCCTATGAGCTAGGAGATTTATTATTGTTACTATTTTTTTTTTTTTTTATTATAGTTATTTAAAAGCACTTTTTAAAACAATTCTTTTGTGTGTTAAAATAGAAAGAGCTTGTATGACCATTTAAAGAGGAATAAAAATATTATTGATGTATGTGACTTTTATAAAATTAAATTAATAAAGCTAATCAAAAAGTCATTGGCAAAATGAAACATTATTTTTATCAAAATATTTTTTTCAGGATTAACACACCACCACCACATGGATTGGCTCTATGCAGCTTGTGTGTGTTTTTTAAAGCATAATGAAGTGCATTGAACACAATTAGGTGATTTTGTGTTCATTTATTATTATGTATATATATTATATTACTAAATAGTTAAAGTAAAAAAATAAAAGTGAAACCAATTGAAATAATTGAAATTATTAACCCTGAAATTATTTTTTTTAACAGGCTTGATTTTTGAAAATGGTGAATGTGTTCAACCTTCGGAGTGCCCCTGTGAGTTTCATGGCACATCGTATCATGCTGGTTCCGTGGTTCAAGATCAATGCAATAACTGGTGAGCTACAAAATCGTAGGGCAGTGGATAATCCCTTTATACCATTATATATATATATATATATATGTGTATATCTACATGAGGTCTGTCCGGAAAAGGTCCATCCATTGTTAATATAACAAGAGCAGGTTGTGCGACATCAATGTAACTAGGCAGCCAAGGAGAGTGGACTGGAATGTCCATGTGTTAACAATGACGACTTCACTGTACTAGTCAGTGGGGGTGCTAGTGAGTGAGCATGTGTACTGCGTAGCTGTCACATTCAAAATGACTGAGCTAGTAGAGCAACGAATCTGCATCAAAGTTTGTGTTACGCATGAACATTCCTAATTGGAAACTATTTAGATGATTCAGGAGACTTTCAGGGACAATGCAATGAGTGCACCGAAAAAAAAGTGTGGCACAAACTCTTGAAAGATGGTCGAGAATCTGTTGAAAGATCTGGCTTTTACCAAAACTAAAATCACTTTTCAAATGGAAGAGATTTCAGACCGTCAGTGAGATTTAGGTAAATACGACAAGGCAGCTGTTGGTGATTCCAACAAAGGATCTTGCAGACTATTTTGAACATTGCAAGAGACACTGGAAGAACTGTGTGAGGTACCAAGATACCTACTTTGAGTGGGACTGGGGCATTATCATCCTATGTACGAGGATTCTTGTATCTTCTTGTATCTTGTTCAATAAATCTCTCTATTTTTCATATTACATGGCTAGATACTTTCCGGACAGACCTTGTGTGTATATATATATATATATATATATATATATAAATATATATATCCACATAGGCCCAGTACTCCCTCTCCCTGCCTTGTACTCCCCTGGGTGCAAACCACATTGTCAATAAGATATAATCCAAGAAAAGTGCACTCACAGGTCTTCGTAGATATTCATAATTCATTATTTTGCAGTGCAATAAACCAATATCTGTAGATGTTTCAGTTTGACTTTAATCTTGATTTTTATTATTGTTATTGCCATTTACATAGCGCCAACATATTCCGTAGCACTTTACAATATTATAAGAGGAGGGGTTTAACTATAAATAGGACAATTACAAGAAAACTTACAGGAATGATAGGTTAAAGAGGACCCTGATCAAACAAGCTTACAGTCTATAGAAGGTGGGGTGTAAAACACAATATGACAGGATATAGCAATCAAATAAGGTGGGAGTAAAGCAGAGCTGGAGGAGATAATAAAGTGCTGCCCTTTAGGAGAGAGCAAGAGACAGGTATGTTAGGTAGCGGTTACTCTGGGAGGTCATGAGCTTTCCTAAAGAGATGGGTTTTAGGGCACTTCTTAAACAATTGAAGACTAGGGGGGAGTCTGATGGCAGTAGTCAGGCTATTCCATAGGAAGGGAGTCGCCCGTGAAAAGTCCTGCAAGCATGAGTTGGCCGTATGCGTGCGAGCAGTGGACAAGAGAAGGTAGAGCAGAGAGACCGAGAAGGGGCATGCCTCTGTATCTGTAAAGAGATATAAGAGGAGCTAGAATTGGTCAATGCCTTATAGGTATGGATGAGCACTTTGAATTGACTCCTATGGTATACAGGAAGCTAATGTAAGGGCTGACAGAGGGGTGAGGTGGGAGAGTAGCGACTAGAGAGGAAAATTAGTCTGGCATCAGCATTTATTACAGACTGTAGTGGGGCAATACGGTTTTAGGGAAGACCAATTAGGAGAGGGTTACAATAATCCATGCGGGAAATTACTAGTGCATGGACAAGCTCCTTAGTAGCATTTTGCGTAAGCAAGGGGCGCATGCGGGCTAAGTTTTTAAGATGGAATCTACAGGACTTGGTAACATGATGGATGTGAGGCTCAAAGGTGAGGCCAGAATGAAGCATGACACCAATACAGCGTGCTTGCAAGGATGGACTGAAGTGGATACCACTAACTTGAAGGGAGAGTGAAAGAGGAGGATCGGTATTAGGAGGAGGAAATACAAGGAGCTCAGTTTTAGAGAGATTTAGTTTCAGAAAGCGGGAGGACATCCAGTCAAAGATGGAAGAAAGGCAAGCAGTGACACGTTGCAGGACGGCAGGGGAGAGATCCGGGGAGAGATATATCTGGGTGTTATCAGTGTACAGGTGGTAGTGGAATCCAAAGGAGGCAGCAGCCAGATTGAAGAGGGTCAAAGAGAGAATTGGAATTGAGGAAGTGAGATACGGGTAAAGACAAGTCTTTCCAGAAGATTTGAGGAAAAAGGGAGCAGGGATATGGGACACTAGTTAAAGGGGGAGGACGGATAGAGAGATTTTTTTTCAGGATAGGTACTACAGTGGCTTGTTTAAGGTCAGCAGGGACAATTTCAGAATAGAGAGAGCAGCTGGAGCTGTGTGTTATGGAAGGCGCAAGACATGGGGAGAGAGATCTGATAAGGTGAGATGGGACAGGATCAAGCGGGCAAGTGGTGGGGTGAGAGGAAAGGAGAAGTGCAGCCTCCTCTTGTTCAGTAGCTGGAAAGAAAGTCTGAAGGGTAGGAAAGGCATGATCTACATGTGGTTGTGAAAGAGAAAGGCAGGGTGGGGAGAATTCTTTCCTTAAATGTTCCTTCTTTTCGGTAAAGTAGCTGTAAGGATAGGTTGAGGGGTCGCCACAGCAGGGCGAAGAAGAGAGTTAAAGGTGTCAAAGAGATGCCTGGGATTGCGGGAGCATGAACTAATGAGAGAGAAAAAGTATGACTGTTTGGCGAGGGCAAGGCCTGCGCTTTATGAACATAATATGAATCTATAATGGAGAAAATCTGACTGGGTGCAAGACTTCCTCCAGGAGCGTTAAGCACAATGGGAGCATCTTTGCAGGTAGCATATTGATTTAGTATGCCATGTTTGGGGGCATGTCCTCCTTGAGGTGCATGTTTGGAGCGGGGCTGCAGTGTTCAAGGCAGAAGTGAGAGTAGTGTTATATGTGGAGATGGCCAGTGAGGGACATGAGAGGGAAGAGATGAATAGGAGTTGTGAAACAATATCAGCTGACAGCTTCTGGATGTCAACAGAATTTTAAGAATATTAAGGTTCCTCCTGAATTGAATGGGGGTTTGGCTAAGGATGTTGGATGAAGGGGTATTCAAGAGCAAATTATAAAAGGTGGTGGTCAGAGAGGGGAAATGGAGTGTTGGAGATATTAGACATTGTACATGCATAAGAGAAAATTACTTTGAGGGTAATGCCAGCTACTTGAGTTGGAGAATTAGTCCACTGCGATAACCCAAGGGAGGAAGCAATTGAAAGTAGTTTAGAGGCTGCTGAGGTCAGGGGTGGGATAATGGGAATATTGAAGTCCCCAAAAATTAGGGATGGTATGTTAGAGGAGAGGAAGTAGGGTAGCCAGGCAGCAAAGTGGTCAAGAAAGAGGAGAGGGGAACCAGAGGGGCGATAAATAACTGCAATATTAGCAAAGACAGGTTTGAAAAGGTGAATCATATGGATTTCAAATGATGAGCAAGAGAGGGAGGGTGGGGTGGGTAGAGGTTTAAAGGAGCAGTGAGGTGAGAGTAGAAACCCTACACCACCTTTACATTCAGAGTGTTTTGGGTTGTGGATAAGTTGAAGGCCACCAAAAGATAGAGGTGCAGGGGTAGCAGTGTCAGAGGGAGAGAGCCCTGTTTCTGTTAAGGTTAGTAAGTCTAGGGAATGAGAGATGAAGAGGTCGAGGACAGCAGTGGATTTTCTACTATTGCAAACAGATCATGCATTCCAGAGGGCAGTATTGAAGGAGGATTTAGAGGAAGAGTAACATGAGATGGGTATTATATTGGTGTGGTTCCTTGAGTTAGTACATGTTGGGTTTGCTGAGGTGGGACGGGGAGAATCATTACCAGCTGCTAGAAGCAGAAGGATATAAAGGCGGGAGTAGGAAGTGAAGGTGGGAGTAGGATTTGAAAGTTTTGTAAGAGGGTATGTATATAGAGGATTTGGGAGGAGTTGGTGGAGATAGGCTGGAAAGGTATACGTAGAGTGCATGGGATGAATAGAGAGGGGAGTAAAGTGGGAGCAATGAAGATGGTGTCACCAGGGAAGTTAGAGAAGTTAGATTGAAAGTGAAAAATAGAAGGGAGAACATTATTTCGAGAAAATGTATTTTGTTGTATAGATATGAATACACATATATAATGCAATGAATATATACACACACATACCTATGAGTGTTTAAACCATGATTAAGCATGCAGTTTGTTAACAGACGGATTCAAGTGAGGAGAGGTTAGTGATTTGATTGTTGCACTATCTATAAGTATTGTAATGACCATTGGGTGGGCCAGGGCCGTCTTTAATACTGATTGGACCCTGGGCAGGTATTTGATTTGGGCCCCTTGACCTAGCCCTTCCCCTTCCTAGCATGCCATCACGCCATCAACGCCCACACACACAAAAAAAAAAACCACACACACACTTAGCCCTCTCATTTCTTACTGAGACAAAATACACACACTGAGACACATACAGATGCAAACACTGACATACATAGAGATGCACACATACACAGGTACAGGCATACATAGAGAGATACACAGACACAAGTGCATACACAGACACACATGCAGATACACACTGACACACCTTCATACACTGATGCACAGATACACTTACTGACAAACATGCAGATGAACAGAAACTGACATAAATTCAGATACACACAATAGCATACAGATACATACATGGACCCACATGCAGAAACACACAGATACAGACACTGACACATATACAGATACAGATACACAGACACACATGCAGCTACACATTCATACAGAATGACACTCACACAGATACAAACACAGACACATATGCAGACACAAAGACATGCAGACACACATACAAACATACACACAGATACACATATAAACATATACACATATAAACATACACATATACAAACAGACACAGAGACACACAGATACACATATATACAAAGACACACATATGGACACACAGGGTCACAGAGAGACACATGCAGATACAGAAACACACACACATACAAACAGATACACATACACACATACAAACAGATACACACATACAAACAGATACACACATACAAACAGATATACATACAGACAGACACATACATACATACATACAGACAGACACATATATACATACAGATACATACAGACATGCACATTTTTTATGTGTTTTCTACCTTTGTAGTGCAGGAGGCTGGCTCAGGCTGATGGGAGTCAGAGCTCCCACTCTGACTCCCTCCTTTTCTTCTCCTCCTCCCGCGCGGGATCATCACAGGGGGCCCGGTCGTGCTCTCAAAGCGGCCGGGCCCCTTAAAATCCATCGCTTTAGGGTGGCCCTTAGAGCATTGGCGGATGAGCCTTCACATCGCGCGACCTGGTAGTTCCACGCGGGCCGCACGCACCATGGGGCCGGAGGGCTAAAGGGGCAGCTACTTTGGGCCCCCTAAGACTGACTGGGCCCGGGGCAGCTGCCCCTTTTGCCCCGTGTTAAAGACGGCCCTGGGGTGGGCAGCCTTCCAGAGATGATACCTCTGCTTAGGTTTGTCTGCAGTGCCCAGTTGTTTTTGAGTTCTGGGAGTTGCTAATCAATGCTGTTATTTGGGGCCCAGTCTCTGCTTAGGCTTTTCTATATATATATGTCTGTTATAAATTTAGTTAGTTAAACCATTACCCATGTACTGGGCCCCTCATTTTCATATAATTGTTTTTTATTAAAAGCATATTGTTTCTTTAAGACATAAAAAAATAAAATAAATATACATTATAAAAAATAAATTATACAAGATAAATAGATATAATAATATAAGTCTGCATTTTTAATTTCCATTTTTTATTCCCAGCACATGCACTGGAGGAAAATGGGTTTGCACTGAGAATGTCTGTCCTGGTGAGTATTAATTATTTGCATCCATGAAATCAATGAATTGATGTTTTTTTCTTCACAAGCTATGCACCCATCTCCTATACATGTATGCATATGTGTGGGCGTGTATGCTAGTTTGAATGTAATTATTTGTGTATGTATATGCATGTGTATTTGTATATATGCATCTGTGTGTGTGCATTACACTTGTGCACAGTAAAAATGTTCAGTTCTTCCAACTTTAACTTTAACTTTTGGTTAAATAATATTTGGTTAATTTAAAAAAATTGGTTCAGTTTGAAAAAAATTCAGATCAAAATTAATATTGACTGGGAAGCCCTACAATATTTATTTTATCAAGGGGAAAAGTGCCTATAGTATTGATTTATATAAAACAAATCTCAAGCTGTAAATCCTTGATTCAAGTTAAATGGTCCAGCTATTGTGCTATTCAGTTTGTTCCAAATTCAGGTGAAGTTCTCTTTGGCATTCAGAAGAATACTGATTGTCCCATATTGGCTGAACGAATTATCCAAGCTTAGTGTGTATGTGGTTCTATTCTGCGATGGACTGTGCTATAGTAGATACATCAAGTATTAAATGCAGATCTATTAAAACAATATATGAATATATTCTCTGTCTTATGTTATTGTTTGCCAGCGGAATGTGCCATCACTGGAGATATTCACATGATCACATTCGATGGGAGAAAATACACCTTTCAAGCTCCTTGCCAATATATTTTAGCAAAAAGTCGGACATCTGGAGTATTTACAGTCACTTTGCAGAATAGCCTCTGTGGACAGGTAGGACTAATTCAAGACACAGGAAACTAACCGATAATCAATAGAACATAATATCCATCTACACATAGGACAATATATAAATATACACAAAATAGCAGCAAATTACAATGAGAAGGTCTGATGTATTATAGGAAATATTTGCTTGTTACTTGAAGAGGCACATTTTTATTTTTAACTGCTTTCTCTTTTGTTGCAAAAATAATTATGTAGGTGATGTATTATAGGTGACTATTGATGAGTGGAAGAAAAGAGATTTAGCCTAAGGCAAAGGAAATAAAAGAAACTGTTCTTATAAAAGTAAGAACAATAAGGATGTGGAATTTTCTGCCTGAAGAGATAGTTTTATCAGAGTCTGTACAGATGTTTAGACAGCAACTAGATGAAATCTTGCAAAAACATAATATTCAGAGATTTAAATTTTAATATATTCTTTATTCAAGTAAAAATCTGAGTAAAACTCCTAGAAATGTGGTAAGAAAATAGCAAAAAAAGAAGGGTGCACCTACAAAGAATAGTAATATCGTAGTATAATAATATTAAGTATCTAAATAATTTATAGGAGTATATATAACATAAAACAATAAATAATAATATAAAAAGTAGTCCAGGTAACTTAGCACTGATCCAAACAAGGTCATCCACCAACACTAGGAAAAGTTCTTTTTAGGCTAACATATGGGATGGGTGGTCACAAGTAGAGGTTTGTACTCCGGTGGAATACGTGGAAAGGAAACAAGAGAAAGAGGACTCCAATGGTATAGTATATATAAAACACTGGGTACTTGAAGTGTTATGTGAAACTACTCACAATATCCAGAGCTTAAATCCAGCTCTGGTGTGGAATACGTGAAGTGGAGTGATCCCCACTCAAGGATATACAGGATATACTGCATATCCTGTATATCCTTGAGTGGGGATCATTAATCCTGCATATCCTGTATATCCTTAAGTGGGGATCATTCCACTTCACGTATTCCACACCAGAGCTGGATAAGAGGGGACCCCTCTGTCTATAGGTGTGCTACCTACATCTTCTCCATATCTCCTGTGGTGTGCTAGCGCTGACCCTTATTCTGACAACTCCTAAAAACCCTTACTCTGCTGTAGTGATTGTAATGCTACGAGTACCCTGGCCCCGTTAGCAATGGTTTGCCACTGTAGCTGGGTTCCCGCCAGGCTCTGTTGCTCCCTAGTTGTCTGGTCATGTGTTTCTGCAGAGCCACAGAAGCACAGCTATAGTTGCCATTCATTGGCTAAGAGCATCAGCTGACCACTCTCAACCAATGAATGCAATTCTGTGCAATGAAAGTTGCACCAAACGGACATTAGAGGTGTTACATTCCATATGAAACATTACACATACAAACTCCAGGCATTCTGACAACTTCAAATTGCTGAAGTAGTCATGGTGCTCAGATTAACCCTTGAAGCACTGCCTAAGGGAAACACTCAGCTGTGTTTTAAAAGTTGTGAAAAGAATCAGTCAGTTCCTGTTTTAGCAAGAGCCAATTGGAAGCCTTGCATAGCCTGGAGGTTTTTTTAAAGAAATCTAGGAACTTCTAATTTATCTTTTTAATTGTCTGGTTATTAATGATTACTTGAGTTTGTTCTGTTTTTCAAAATACATATCGGTATCATAATGCATCAAGATGCATGGCTTTGGTGCTGCACAACTTTCGCACAGAGAGCTACGAGTTGGAAAGTGAAGCATATACACAATGTTTGCAAGTCTGCCAGTCCGTCTGCCTGTTAGACACATTTTGTATTTTGTTTCTGTCTTTTCTTAGCAAGAGCTAAAGAGAGCTATGTCCTCAACATTTAGGAAGAGCAATCTAATGATATTTAATTGATGCAAAGAATATTTTATAAAATTTCAAGATACCCTTTCTGTTAAAATGGAATACAGTATTTGATAGCATAGTATATTTGTCCATAATGGCTGCTGTTTTCAAACCAGCGAACCATATAAAAAATGTCAAGATGCTTGTTTTTATGCTCAATTGATTCATGTCACGTTTTGTCAGTTGACAGATGTACTTTAACTCGATGGTCTGAAGGCGGTGGACATTGTTCATTCATTGTTGCCTCTTCGGTAGTCAGTAGCATTTGTGTGGTCGATCCGAGACCCAGCTCATCAATACACTGTATATCCATTTCAACAGATTATCCTGCTATCATTTAGTATATTCCCTGCTACAGTGACTATGATGAAACCTTTATTGTTCTCCAAAAGTAACTGCTACTGCTTAATTTACTGTCCTTGCCTATATTAGATCTTGTAATTGAATGCATTTACGATAGTCACCAAATCATTATCTCCTACTTTGGAGATGAAGGATAATGCAACGATGAGCAGTATTTATTTTACAGTATGGTTTTTCAGACAAGGATTTAATTTCTGAAAGTCTTTCTTGGGGAAACCAAGAGCTCAGATCAGGGAAATGAATTCTGTTACAATTGTGGCAGAAAAATAACATCAAATAGGAAAAGTCCAAGACACTAAAACCGTGAGTTGTTTTTAAGCCGCATCACAAAGCCTCTAGTCATCCTTTCGAACATGGTGACATAAAATGTCATCAAGCTATAAGTGGCTTCAGAATTATGTGAAATTTTGCTAAAGCACTTTCTGGAAAGCAAATCAGAAGAGCGATCAGTGCTGCTTAACCTTATTGTGGTTTCATGTATCTGCATCAGTGTCTTTGTAGTTTGTGGGTTTTTTTGAGATGAGAAGAGTTTTGAAGATAGGAATTTTTTTGTCAAGTACCTAGCAAGAGAGACAGCAGCCCATGTGAAAACACCTGCTGAGAATAGCCCGAGGCAAACCTATGAAAGAATTGATTCATGAGCACAGAGAATTATTGTCATCTAGGATTTCGTCTTTTCACAAGCAATTGACGATGAAAGTGTCTATCTTTACACCATAGGTTAAGGTAAATAGCCGGTACATACATGGTTTACAGGTATTTTTGTCTAATGAAAGTGACATCTTAAAAAACAGGACCGGTAAAGATATCCAAAGCTAGTGATGTTCATCACTAGATCCTTCTTATAGCCTCAGAATTCCAGGATCTTACATGGTGAAAAGATCACAAAAGTTCTATCCTAAAGTATTGTATCTTGGATGACACATTTGGAGTGATGATGGAGGCTGGTATCCACAGTTAGAGTTTTGTCGTATCCTCATAAATCCAAGATTTACTGCATAAATGGAGCAAAGATGTTCTAACTTTGAGACCTCTCTGACCGTCAGATGATACATTGTGAGGGAAGATAATCATTACGATGGGCTACTAATGCTTTGAAATAATATTTTAAAAGGGAATGATATTAGTCTGGACAAGGCCTGATTGTTGATTACTACTTTGAAATTAATGACCTCAGCATTGGAAGTAATTATTTATTATTATTATTATTTTATTTTTTTAAAGGTTTTAAAGTTTATTTATCAATTATATATAGTGACATACATGTTTGAAGATTTACATATCGTGATGAAAACATTTTAAGATATAAAAGTGAACATTGTTTCACTGCATCATCGGTATACAACAATTCGCTATGTACTTCATCTATGACATTGTATAGTCTGTATAGTTCCCTAGCAAGTTATTAGACCCTGGTTGGTGGTGTCCCTTTTCTACTTGGTTGAGGTGTGTTAGGGACTGTCACGCTGTGAGCGTGCGGTAGTAGGTTGCTTGCACTCTAGGGGCGTATTGGTAAGTTGATGATTAATTATCGTGTTTGGTACCTCTTAAGAAGTGTAGCCATGGGGCCAAGTATCCCTGTATTCCTTGTATTTATGTGAAAAGGAGTATGTGAGTTCCTCCAGGATTCTAATGGAATCGACTCTCGTGATCCATTCTCTAATGGAGGGGCCCCTAGTTTGTTTCCATTTGGTTGGGATTAGGCTGTTTGCGGCGGTGATCAAGTGGTTGGTCAGTATGCGCTGGTGTTTGGCCATAGGGGTGGGGTATATCATGAGTAGCATAACTTTCAGATCACAGGGTAGCCTACGGCCTGTGATGGGGAGTATGAGGTCTGTTATCTTATGCCAGTACTCCTGTATTATTATTATTATTATCATTATTATTTACTGCTAGTACTGGATATTGGAAACATATTTTAAGAACATGTTAACCAGCCATAACAAGTTATATAAAATATAAATAATATGTATTGTTGAAGATTGAAAGAGCAAACATTAGTTCAAATAGAGAATCAGAAACATAGACCAACTCAGCTATTTTACCCCGAGAAGGCCAATGCTGGCACAGAACACTACTGAGCATCTCAACTTCTGAAATAAAATCTGCTTCAATGATGTCAGCTCTCTGTTCCCCAAGAACGCATTTAGCAATGTATTTAGATGTTTCCACATTCTATTTTACAGATCCTAAATTCCAAAGCTGCTGATCAAACTCCATATATTCATGTAGGGGTTCTTCTTCTGCAGTATTTCCTTGCTTAGTAAATCTACCCTTTACATTTTTATTTACAGTGAATGGGCAGGCACAACTAGGATAACTTTAGTTAACTTTAGTTAACTTGCATTGCCCTGGGAATCTTTATTACTTAATTTTTCGTTCTTTTTATGCAGAACCTAGATGGATCTTGTATCCAGTCAATAAACATAATTCTCAGCCATGACCCCAGGAAGCAGTTGACCTTGACTCATTCTGGAGACGTGCTGATGTTTGACCAGTATAAAATCAATCTGCCCTACACAGACGGTATGCTGCATAATCTTCTCATGTTTTGATCTTCAGCCTTATATTGATTTTAGTTTGTTAGAGAAATGATGTGCATGGTCAAAAGTGTCCAATTATTTTAAACTATGAAACTATAAAATATAAATATATATTCAGAGTTTGTGATATGAATGTAACAATGATGTAATCTAGTGATAGTATTATTCGGTCAATGCATTAAATGCAGGCCATGTCCACTCTAAGAAATGTACATTGGCAAATCAGCCTTACACTTCGTCTCAGTTTGATAAACAAGTACCATTACATTGTATTATTGTCACTATGTATCTTCTGCCAATTAAAGGATCACTATAGTGTCAGGAAAACAAATCTTACCTCTCCTCCCCCGCAAATGTCAGCTCCCCCGTCTGACGTCAGCGGAGCGGAATGCGCATGCGCGGCAGTGCCGCACGCGCATTCAAAGTGTCCATAGGAAAGCATTTCTCAATGCTTTCCTATGGATGATCTGCGTGATGGAGGCATAATATGCCTCCAGCGTCGCAGATGCGCCTCTATCAGCTGTCCGGAAGACAGGCACTAGAGGCTGGCTTAATCCCAAATGTAAACATAGCAGTTTCTCTGAAACTGCTATGTTTACAGCAGGCAGGGTTAACCCTAGAGGGACCTGGCACCCAGACCACTTCATTGAGCTGAAGTGGTCTAGGTGACTATAGTATCCCTTTAAGTAATGGTTTATTGAAGTGCTTTAAGTTCTTTCAGGAGAACAGGAACATTATAAAGAAACATTTATAAATATACATTTTGAGAGGAATGCAGAATAAAATGCTTACATACATTAACAACTACCCATGTGCAAACATTTTTCATGTTGTTTCCACAGATGTTTTTGAAGTTAGAAAGTTGTCCTCTATCATTCTTCATGTGAAGACAAACATCGGGTTACAACTGCTTTATGACTGGAGTGGACTGAGGCTTTATCTTAAGCTAGACGGAAGATGGCATGATGATACAATCGGACTTTGTGGAACCTTCAATGGAAATACAGAAGATGATTTTCTGTAGGTACTCACTAGGTATATTTCTTAAAGTGGATTAGCATTTTGGTATATTTTACATTTTAAACAGAGAGAAATACATATAATATATTTATTTGCCGGAAGGTTTCTCCTTTTCCTATTCTGCCTATATGTCTGGTGTTTTTATAATAGATATGTAAATGTAGGTATTATTTTATGCCATGACTTTCTCATTCTGTAGGCAATCTAAGGTAAAAATTAGAATGTCATTTACCTACCAGAAAGTAATCTTTCATTGTCTCATAACATATGTCGCCTTCGTGACTAATATGAAAATGGCGGCAAATCACATGATGTCAGAGACACTATTGCCTACTGCTTTAATCTGTTTTATGTTGGGTTTTTTTTGAATACCAAAATCAAGCTGTAATAAGGTTTGCATGGAGATGCTTTGCTCAGAATTAATATTCTGGACACTTTGCACAACAGACATTTCAGTGGTGAACATGCCTTTGGGGAATTTAAATTAAAACATTGGTGTCATTGAAGGATTGATACCACGATGAAAGGGGCTGTAGTTACATGGTGCTCGTATGAATGTAGATCTATAACAGCAGCACTCAAAGGATGGTCAACATATTGAATTTTTCATTTTAAGTTGAAAGTTCATTTTAGATTGCTAGAACTAGTTCTATTGACTGAATGAACATTCCTTCTTATTTTATTTTATAATGAAAGATCTCCTGCTGGGGTCCCAGAAAGTACACCACAGCTCTTCGGGAATGCCTGGAAGATATCTTCAGCGTGTGGTTCTGAATATTTCCCATCTTCCTTGGATCCTTGTGATGTGCATTTACAAGCTGGTGAGAAATAATAGCACACAACAATCTTCAATGACTTCATTAATGAACATTCTGCTCTCCAGCTGTTGTGACTAAGTTTGCCCGATGCCCCAAAGCAATCAAGCTAAAGTGTCCACCGCTGCCAATGAAATGAGCATTATAAGCATTCAAAGGCTCTGACCCTTAAACAGCATTGATATAAAAACATCTGGTTTCAATTGTAGTAACTCGTTCTGTGATGGACTGTCCTTTCCCCCAAAATAAAACATGCTTGAACTTACCTCTTTTCCCTCATCTTGGCCAAATTCTCTCTCTGCTATATCCTCCTTAACTGACTTTACAGAGAGGAATGTCAGGGAGGACAAACTGAGGTGAGGACAGGGATGGCACAAAGAAGAGGGGCATCTGCCATTATCTGTCTGTCGCCACCATGCTGTATGTTCTGTTTTGCACAAAATTGACATTAGCCACACAGAACTTTGAATGATGCTGCCAAAGGTGGCAGTGAAGGTGTTATTCTAGTAATGTGCAGCATTTCAAAGTGAAATGCTGTGCAAACAGTCTCTGTGCTCCATGACCACTTCAAATCAATGAAGTGGTCATGGTGCTTGGAGTGACACATTATTACTTTCTCTTAGATGCAATAAGTCTTGATGCAGTAAAAGAAAAAACACATTAGTTTTAGATACACATTTGAATCTCTCTGAGCAATTCATACAAATGTATTTTATGCCCAAGAGGTAGATCCCCAGATGTTTTAAAACTACGGCTTCCATGATATTTTGTCATTTTAAAGGCATGCAAAACATCATGGGAGTTGTAGTTCTGCAACATCTGGGATCTACCTTTTGGGCACCCCTGTGCTAAGGCATTCATCATATTGTCAACTCACTGCTTCTCTCTCTCTCTCTCTCTCTCTCTCTCTCTCTCTTTCTTTCTCTTTTCTAACTGGTTTTGTCATTGTTAGCTAATTTAAGCTCTCTCCACCCTGAGGTTCTGTTTACATTGCCTACCTGCCGTTTTATACACCATTGTAAAACTGTGACACATCATTCATTTGTTGGTGCTATGTAAATGATAATACTATATGATAATACATAAAACGGAATAATGATGTGATTCATTGTGTTTGTGCCAGCTTCCTATGCAGCAGAGAGTTGTAGCATCCTCACCAAAGAGTTGTTTGCTCCCTGCCACCCGTACCTGAGCCCCGTTTCTTACTACGAACAATGCCGGAGAGATACGTGTAAATGTGGCCAAGCTTGCTTGTGTTCTGCATTGTCACATTATGCCCATCAGTGCCGCCGGTTTGGAATAATCATTGATTTTAGATCCAGCCTCTCAGACTGTGGTAAGTATATTTCATCTTAAAAAGTAGTACGTAGTGGAGTGGATGGTTGATGAATACGTTGACATGTTCAATATTGTTATAACAAGATTTTATCATCAGAAAGACGCTACAGTCTGATCTTACGCACTATCGTGCTAGAAGCCCCATTTTCAAATCAACTTTTTGACACAGTGATAAGCAGACATGAATCGGATATTAATACTTAGATTCCCGTTGTGTTCTGGGTTTTGTAAACATAATGTAAAATTGTTACTTTAGCTTCTCCACCAAAATCATTTCATTATAAAACAAAAGTAGCATTTGTTTGAAGCGTAAAATTACTTCCTCATAAAAAAAGAAAGCAAACAGTTCTTTTGTGTATAGCTTGCTATTCAGTGTTACTTATATATTTTTCAATTGACAAAATTGCAATTTTTAATTAATGTTTTACAGTAAAATTGATGGTGGAGGGAAGATTATATGGTATAATACATGCAATATTTCAGACAGAGTATGTTTGGCAAAATAAAATAAATAAGATCAATTAAAATGGTCAAGCATCCTGCTGATGAGTATTTGTTAGGACTTTTTGGGAATGTAAGTTTCCAAGCCCTCCAGAAGAATTCTTGCATTACTTCTGTGCTATGAGAAGCAACTAATCAGATTCAGATACACTTGTTCAACGGATCTAGAGTCAAGGGTGAGATAAGTGGAATAGTGTAGGCTACATTGACTTTTTTGTCACTGCCTATGCAGAGCTCGTGTTGGAAGATATGTGGGAAATCAAATTATTGTGTGAAAATAGGATTGCTTATATAAACATAATGTTTATGTTGTTTTGGGACTATTGCCAGGAGATATGATGAAAATGTAAACTGAATGTCACGCAGGCTAATTCACTAAAGTGAGACTTGTCAGGAATTCAAAGAGAATTTTTAATTTAAGGCAAAAGTAGCCTAACTGGAAAAATTCTTAAAGTTAGCAATGCATCCGGTTTAATTACTTTTGCCTTAAATGTGAAATTAGCTTTGAATCTCAAACAATTTTCACTTTAGTAAATAAACCCCAACAATGTTACTTTCCTCCTTACAGTAATATTGTGTGAAGATACAATGGAATATGGAACTTGTGTATCTACGTGTGGCCAAACTTGCCAAGCTCTGTCAATGCCCGAAGCCTGTGATGAAGACTGTGTGGAAGGCTGTGCATGTCCAAAAGGAATGTTTTTAGACATCAGAACAGACAGATGTGTAGAAAGGTAAGATTTACCTGGGTTACATAAGGGAAGATATTATAATACTGATCTATCGAATGCATTTGCCAAACTTCAGAAATAAGCCTTTTACACCCAAACAAATGTTTCAGGAAAAACCCTTAATGTGCCAGATGGCAAACATACTTTGTGAAGAGTTGGACAAAGCTGTCCGGCACTTACAGAGTTAAAGAGATCATATACGTTTGTAATGACACACATTATAAACACATTATAAATAGAGATGTCGCGAACTGTCCCCCGAACTGTTCGCGAACTGTCCGCCGGCGAACAATAGCGTGTTCGCGTTGGGCGAACATATCCGATTTCCGGTCCGCCCCCTATACGTCATCATTGAGTAAACTTTGACCCGGAACCTCACAGCCGGCAGACACAGTCCACCCAATCAGCAGCAGACTCTCCCTCCCAGGACGTGTCTGCTGACTGTGAGGTTCCGGGTCAAAGTTTACTCAATGATGACGTATAGGGGGCGGACCGGAAATCGGATATGTTCGCCCAACGCGAACACGCTATTGTTCGCCGGCGGACAGTTCGCGAACAGTTCGGCGGACAGTTCGCGACATCTCTAATTATAAACAATTATCTTTTAACCGTTAGCATGTCAGAGAGACAGTCATGAGCTAATCCATTTGTCATATGGCAAATAATGGTAGTCATAGCTACCTTTTAGCAAATATTATTAATCAAGTAGAGGTTTTTTGTTTAGTGAATTTTATGATTATTCTAATATATTATCAAATAGTTAATTTAGAGGAGGGATAGGCAACCTTCGGCACTCCATATGTTTTGGACTATATCTCCCATAATGCTCTTACACCTTTATTGCTGGCAAAGCATCATGGGAGGTGTAGTCCAAAACATCTGGAGTGCCGAAGGTCATCTATGCCTGATTTTTTAGTTTTGGCTGATTTGGTTACATATACATTGCATGTTTTGTCTGTGCACATTTATGTTCTAAATTTGTTACCATAATGTAATTATATTGTTAATATTTTCAATTATTTTTACAATTATAGCTTTTTGGTATATGTACCTCCCTGGTATGTCCGGAGGCACTATTTCATCAGCTATAGCATGTCAGAATTTTTTTATTTATTTATTTTGTAATTAGAAGTTTTACTAACTGAGAATTTGTGCTCGCAGAGATGTATTTTTTATTTCAAGAGTACATCCTTATGCACGGTTCTGGAGTTCACTTACAGAGTTACTAACTAAATTGTAAATTGTCAGGAATTCAAAGTGAAATCAAAATGAATTTAAAATTGTAGCATTAATGTTAGTGTTCCTTTAATGATTAACCATATGCGGTTGAGTGTCAAGTAGTTCTATAACATGTTTCCATAAAATTTGATGTTGTTTTTAAAATTATTTTGGTGCTATATACTGTATATCAGTGGTTTGCAAACTTTTTAGGTTCAAGGCACCCTAATATTTCAATATTTTTTTAAGGCACCCCAGGTCAAAATTTCTAGGTTGTATATCTGTACAGCGCTGTGGCATTTATTGGTGCTATTGTGTAATGTACAGTGTTGGGATTTGAAGGGGTGCTTGTATATCGTTTGTGTTTTAATACAGGGGTGTGTTTTTAAGTAATGTTTGCGTTTGATTGCATGCATGTGTCTGAATGTAATGTTCACTTTTAGATGTGGATGTACATTTGTGTGAAGTATTTGTGTTTGAGTGAAGGGGTGTGTTTGTATATTTTTTGGGGAGTTTGAATGCAGGGGTGTGTTTGTATGTAATGTTTGCGTTAGATTGCAGTAGTGTGTTTGCATGTTGTACTGGTGTTTGACTGCTTGGATGCATGCACACACACTACCACATACATACATACTTACACAGATATACATGCACATTAACACACAGATACATAGATACACACACACATAGATACACACCAACACATACACACACGCCTTTACACACGTATACACTGACTTATACACACCCAGATGCACATACACATGTGTACGCTTAAAGGACTGCGGCACCCGACCGGACCCTGCTCAACAGTTATTTTTCCCAGTGCTATAATCATAGCACCGGGGAAACATTCTGCGGCACCCGTGTGGGCACACTGTTTGGGAACCGCTGCTGTATATACTACCTTGGGAATGCAAACTACATTTCTCATTAAGCTCAGCCTGCCCTTAAGTGGGTTACAATGCCACGCATATGATAGATCGAATTAGACAGTTTTTGAGAAATACTCACAGGTTTTGGTTGAACTGACTGCAGCGTAGTGTTAACTGCCAATAGTTAGGCTCACATTTAGCTGAGCTGCCTCTAACTCCATACTGATGGTATCTTTTTATGCTATTTTACAGGAGTGAATGTCCCTGTTACTTCCAAGGAATAGACTATCATCCAGGAGAAAATATAATTACTTCCCTAGGCAAATGGTAAGAAAAATAAGCACTTAATGAAGAGCAACAATTTAGACTGAAAATAATTGAGATGCTGTGCCAATTGTAGTACTCACATTTTCTATGTGATAATTTGGAAACTTCTGCATTGCCCTGGTGGCTTAGAGAAGCCAGGCTTCGGGAGTCAGGAGAGACTAGCTATACTGTCAAATGGACTTGGAGATCCATTCCTCGTTGAACTGCAGTTTTGCCAAATTTGGGCTGATGAGGTGATCAGTCAGATTGCCAAACTTCAAGCTGAAATGTACCCAAATCACACACTAATCGAAATGCGCAATGTCCAAGCATGCTTCTCATTCTGAATTATGCTTGTGGTTCCAAAAAGAGATGATTGGTATCTAAGGGACAGTCACTTAATGTTGAGTTTATTTAAAGATCAAGTGAGAAGTGACCAAAAGAGAAAAAAAAGAGGAGCAGGAGAAAATCTATATTTGAATATTATATAATGTGCATATTGCTCAGAATTGCATTCATTGGCTGAGAGTGGTCAGCTAATGCTGTCAGCCAATGAATGGCTGGTGGGATCGATGTCAGGCTTCAGCAGCTCTGCAGAAGCCAGATGTCATCACTGACTAGAGAAGACACCAGAAGCCCAGGTAAAAAGGCAAATCATTTTTGTTTGTGCATTTACTGGGAAAGACTCCGGAACTGTAATGGTTATGATACTTGGAGTAACTCTTAAAATATACATAGACATTAGTTCATGCTAAAGTGAGACTTGTTTAACATTTTATTTAATTATTGGCAATTGCTTAAAAATGATAAACATTTACAGATTGAAAACTGTAGTATATTTCTTTTATGTATTGTTCATGTATTGTATATTTCATGCAAAAATATCTTATAGTTCTAATTGTCATTTATCACAGCCACTGCACTAATGGAACAATGAACTGTGAGAGCTATGATGTTGGTAAGGAAACAGCCAAATAAATTTTCTATATTAACATAAAATATAGTTGACCCTTGTTATTGTAACTGGAAGCTTGATTCTTTTGTTAGTTCTTGAAAATCTTGAAGTTGTTTTTCTTATTATTTCATAGTTTTGAAGAAAAAGTACTGGTGTATTTTAAGAGTGCAAATGTTTTTAAATATGCAGGTAATTATTAAAAAAGCATTATTCCATCTAACAAGCTCTGGGTCTTCTCTCATTTCACAGTTAATAATTGCCCTGTTGGTCAGGTCTATTATAACTGCAGTAATCCAGCAGAAGATGTGGAACTGAGTCAAGAGCGGACGTGCGAGAACCAGCTTCTTAATCTGACTACACCAGCTCATCTTCCTTGTATTTCGAGCTGCGTTTGTCCTAAAGGGTATGTACAGTTGTCTTTATTACTTCAGAGATTGACATGGAATGAGAATGGTCCAGATTTCCAAATAAAAAATGGAAGATCTAGATATTGAGAGTCAGATTGGTGCTGGGTTGGGGGACAGGAGACACATTTCGTAGAACCAGGCACCGAGGTGTCATAAGTATATAAGGAACACATAACCTTTATTTTAAAAATGGCACTAGTTGCTCAAGTTAACCATCTGGATATCTCTGTTATTGATGATCCAAAAGAATTACATTGATTTCCAATTGTGCTGTGAAGCTGTGTTATCAATAATGACCTTGAAGAGTTCCTTTAAACAACAATTTACTAGTACTGGTCATACAAACTAATATTCTCTTAATTGCCATTCTTTTTAACCTGACTACTAATGTTAGACCCACATTTTTATTTATTTAGAGTCTAATTTGGTGTAATGCAAGTTATTATTTTTAATTACTTAAATTACCTATTTGTTGTTTAAACAGTCCTTGATTTGATTCCATGTTTATATTTCTGTGTTATTTCAGTTGTTTTAAACACCTAATTGTAGTGAATTGAAAATAAATTGCAAAATTTAAGATTTGGAAAAATTTTCCAACTTAACTGTAGTCACATTTTGTTTATATATTATTTATTTTTTTACAATGATTTAATTTGTTGTTTTAGTAGAGAGCTGAAGAGCACAGTGGGTGTCAAGGTTATATTACTGTACACCCTAATAAACGCTCCCTAAAATGAAGTACTAAAGTAACAAATTAATCAAATATCATTTATACAATAAATTGGTTGGTTTATGTTAAGACGGATAAGAAATAAAAGCACAATGATACAATTAAGTTAGATTAATGTGAGGGCCTTCCATGAAGATTTGACAACAAATACCATTTAGTAACTTGCAAAGTTTTCCAGATAAGAGCCTTTGACAATCGAAACAATGTATATAGGGTTCCCAATATTTAAAAAACAAAACAAAAAACATGTTTCTAATGTGTGTTGTCTATACTGAAAGTCCTCAACCTAATCCATTTGTATCCTAAATTATACAGGTAGACATATAGTCAGATACCTGGACGAGACAGAGAAAAACAGGTGGACATGCATAGTCAGACAGATAGACAGATAGGAAGAATGATAAAATGTTTATCATTTTTAAGCAATTGCCCATAATTAAATAAAATGTAATGAAATTTAAATAGTAAAAATGTGCATATTTTATTTTAGATACCCTTGAACAGCAATCTATATATACAAAAAATGATAAAAAAAATATATATTCTAACTCTCCAAACCATATGTTTCAAATAAATGTTATCTGATATTTTAAACAAACGAATTTGGTAGTTTAAGAGGTTAAAGGTAATTGGGGATGAAACCGTATAGCTTAAAATGAAAGTATTTTACTAAACTCGGAATAATTCATTAAAATAAATCAAACTGGAAACAGAGATATTTGTCTCGTTATTCTATTTTGGCTCTAAATGTGCAGCTCTTTTCTTCACAATTCCTGCTTTACCAAATAAACAAAAATACTTTAGTCATTATTTTATTTTCTTTTACAATCCTCTCCCATTTCTTTCTCGACCCAAGATATTTTAAGTCTGTTTATGCCGTATGCTGTAAACAGGTGCCGTGCCAGATCAAATATCTGGTAAGGAGCTTAAACGGATTCCTTGAAAATCATCACTTTTTAATTTACTACCAGATATAATAAAGGTTTTATGTTAGCTTCTAAATTATTCTAAAACAGAGTAATTTTGCTTAACAATACTCTGGAAACCCGCTATAGACACAGCATTGTGCAAAACAATTCACAACGGCCACTAGCTCTATTTGTAACTTTGTCATCGGTGCACGGTACGCCGACGAGATGACGGGAAAATGGCCATAAAAATGCTTCTCTCTCTATTCCCTAGTTCCACTTGAGCAACATTTTAATTTGCAACTGGGACCTATTTAGCCTTGAAACTACATAAAGCCCCAAGACTTGGCCACAGTTACTGTTTTTAAGATTACTATTTTTATGAAACATTCCTGACGTTAAAGCTGCACTATCACTTTTTCAACAAAGAAAAAATCTGTTGGCAAAACTCATATAGACTGCTGGAGAATCCTATAGAATTTTAAACACAATTTAAAAAAAAAAATACACCATAAAGCTCTGTTCGAGAATATTGTGCCTCCTCAACACATCAATTTCTGGCAAAATGTGACCAGTGGCAGGAATATGAAGAGCTTCTGGCTGTCACATCTTGCCATTTCCATCAGACATCACTAGCAACTCATGATGGAAACACGCTTCTTCTAATGTTTTGTACTACAGATGTTTTGGTGGTATCTATGGACAAGTAGAAAAAAAGAGGAATTGGGGTGCACAACCAGAACATGCATTTTACAGCAGTGGTGCTGCTGTGAAGAACACAATATATAGAAAATACAGATTAAGGTAACAGCGCACACAGAAAAAAATTTAGTTTCAAATTTTACGAGACTATTTAAAATCACCTATCTTAGCAAACAAATATTGGAATTCAGTTACACATCACATGACTGTATAATTTTAAGCTCACCACCACTTCACAGTAGACACGTGCAATTCGTTTCGGTCCAAATTTAAAATTAGACAAATTTCGGCAATTCAGACATTTGGATGCTTGGGAATGTCCGAAGTGCCGAATTTCGGAAATGCCAAAGTGCTTCGGATTTCTGAAAACTGGCAAAACAGGAGAGGGAGGGAAAATGATTACAGGAATCAACCTCTAACCCTAACCCTTACCCTCACGAATTTTGGAAGCATCGAACCGAACCAAATTTTTTGCCCAAGCCCATCCATACTTCACAGTACCCCAATATCGGTGGGTCCTACTCTAATAGAAGATGAACATGCTGCAACACTTAGTGCTTAAAGTTTTAGTCAGGGCCATCTTTAACGCGGGGCAAACGGGGCAGCTGCCCCGGGCCCTGTCCCTGCTGGGGGGCCCGAGGTAACTGCCCTGTTTGCTCTCTGCCCGCAAACTATGGGGCCCATTGGGTGGCCCATGCACTTAGGGCAACCCGGTGGGCCTGTGCCAGCAGGGGCCCGGTCGGGCGCTGTGGCGCTTTAACAGCGCGACCGGGCCCTTGCTTTTCGGCAGCACTGGGAGGAAGTGACAGCCGTGCGTCACTTCCTCCCACAGAAACAGGAGCCGCGCGGGAGGAAGAAGCTGTTCCGGAGGGGGCCGGGCCGGTAGAGCTTAACTCCCAGCCACCCCAGCCAGCCCACTGGACCCCAGGGAAGCCACCCTCCAGAAATAGGTAAGAAACTGGAGGGTGGTTATCAAAGTCTGTCAGTGTATCTGTATGTCTGTGTGTGTGTGAGTCTGTCAGTGTCTGTGGTTCAGTATGTCTGTGTAACGGAACCGCTGGCACCCCGACCGGGTACCTTCCGCCGACGGATGCTCCTAGTGCTTTCCGAGGACTCCAAGCACTCTGTCTGACACTATAACCACTGCAGACCCCACGAACCGCTGCAGCTTGGTTGGGGTCTCGCCGTCTCCACCCACTCTGGACCCAGGACCAGGGTCCAGCTTCCAGCAGGTCGACCTCTCTCCAAATTCCAGAGAGCAGGAACAGGAACAAGCTCTTAGCAGAGCTTAGTGATTATACCCTGGGGAGTATAGTGATTATAGCAATCCCCAGAGTGTAGTTTCTCCAATCCCCCAAACATGAGCCGAAACTTCATGAAGGTACAAGATGATCTGACTCCAATGAGCGTTTATTACTCCTTATATACAAGTTTTCAGGTCAGAGGCACACCCCCTGGACCTGGTGGTAAACTGTGACAAAAGGGACACAAACCAATGGGAACACTAATTAACATGATAACACTCTCACATACACAATGAAATCCCTCCTCTCCATCCTGGAGATAATTGGCTTAAGGCACTGCAGTAAACTCAATTATCTCCAGGTACAGAAAATATCTACATTTAACACTAACAGCAAAATACGTAAAAGTACATAAAAATACATAATTCTTATTTTATTACACAGAACCCCCACATTTAACCTATCCCCAGATAGCTCGGATCTGAGCGCCCAATCTAGGTGAACAGCGCTCAGATCCCATGAACAGAGTAGATTTTCCTTGGGGTAAAGCATAGCAAGGGCTGTTGAGAAACCAAGGAGGGACAAAAGCAGTCAGTTCCAACTGGTTTGGCAGTGTGCCTGGGACAACGCCCTGCTGGACAACAATAGACAGGAAACGGGGGAGGGGAAGAAACACACCTTCCCATGGATTCAAATGGGAAGAAACTGTCTTCAGAAGCCAATAAGCCCCAAATAGTCTTTTTAAATGGCAATACACCCCAGGGCCATAGTCATGAGGAAGGAGGCTGGCAATCAGGCTCCTCCAACAGCCGGGGGCAAAGGGCAGCTTGTCACCTAACAATCCAGGGACAAAAGGCATTTCGTCACACATCTCCCTTTTGGGGGGGAGACTAACCAGGTACCTGACCTGTCGGTCAGTGCCTGAGTTAGTCGATAAACCCACCCACAGTGAACAAGTACATGAGTAGCCCACCCACAACACACATTTACTGCACCTAGGGATTCCTCTGATGTCACTGGGTAACACGCTTTGGGTGCTTGGGGGGTAGAGGCCAACTGCGCTCTGCCCCAATGCCAGCGCTTCGGCTGGGGCAGCTGGGTTAGGCCTTGGCTGGGGAGGGGAAATAGTACTTACCCCCTCCTCCTGGTGTCCCTGCAAGGGTAGTTGGGGATCTGGACAGGCTGTCCAACATCCCTGTAAGTCGGGTGCAGAGACCACGGTCTCCTCTGCACCTTCTGGGGGACTAGTGTCTCCTCTTTGTGGGGTAAGTTGCCACTGGGGAGGAAGGACGGCACCTTCGGCTCCCTGGGATACACACTGCCGCTGGGGAGGAAGGACGACACCTTCTGCTCCCTGGGGTACACACTGCCGCTGGGGAGGAAGGACGGTACCTTCAGCTCCCTGGGATACATACTGCCGCTGGGGAGGAAGGACGACACCTTCAGCTCCCTGGGTTACACACTGCCGCTGGGGAGGAAGGACGGTACCTTCAGCTCACTGGGATACATATTGCCGCTGGGGAGAGAGACTGGTTATCTCTTCTCCCTTGTCAACACACTGCCGCTGGGAGTCAGACCGACTGTCTCGACTCCCAGTGATGATGGTTGCTGCAGGGACGAGGGACCGACAATCTCCTCTCCCTGGGATGCTGTCTGCCGCTGGGGAGAGAGACCGGTTGTCTCTTCTCCCTTGACAACACACTGCCGCTGGGGAGGAAGGACTGTACCTTCAGCTCCCTGGGATACATACTGCCGCTGGGGAGGAAGGACGACACCTTCAGCTCCCTGGGGTACACACTGCCGCTGGGGAGAGAGACCGGTTGTCTCTTCTCCCTTGTCAACACACTGCCGCTGGGGAGTCAGACCGACTATCTCGACTCCCAGTGATGATGGTTGCTGCAGGGACGAGGGACCAACAATCTCCTCTCCCTGGATGCTGTCTGCCGCTGGGGAGAGAGACCGGTTGTCTCTTCTCCCTTGACAACACACTGCCGCTGGGGAGTCAGACCGACTGTCTCGACTCCCAGTGATGATGGTTGTTGCAGGGACGAGGGACCGACAATCTCCTCGCCCTGGGATGCTGTCTGCCGCTGGGGAGAGAGATCAATTGGCCACAGCCCCAATCTCTGCAATCGGAGCTCAAATTCCCATGCCGCTCGATTCTCCTCATCCAACTTGCGCATGGTTGCCAGAATCGCCTCTGTCGAAAGATTCGGGCCATATCTGGTTAACCGCCTCTTGACCTCCTCCCTGTAAGCGTTGCCCTCAAAGCGATGGGTCATGTTTGCTGTGAACAGGGGCGCTGTACGAATACTAGCGTTGCCCTCAAATTGTAATTCCAAATGTTACTGGTGCCTCTGCGCTGCTTCTCCTCGCACTAGGACGCCATCCCACCGCTGCCACCAATGTAACGGAACCGCTGGCACCCCGACCGGGTACCTTCCGCCGACGGATGCTCCTAGTGCTTTCCGCGGACTCCAAGCACTCTGTCTGACACCATAACCACTGCAGACCCCACGAACCGCCGCAGCTTGGTTGGGGTCTCGCCGTCTCCACCCACTCTGGACCCAGGACCAGGGTCCAGCTTCCAGCAGGTCGACCTCTCTCCAAATTCCAGAGAGCAGGAACAGGAACAAGCTCTTAGCAGAGCTTAGTGATTATACCCTGGGGAGTATAGTGATTATAGCAATCCCCAGAGTGTAGTTTCTCCAATCCCCCAAACATGAGCCGAAACTTCATGAAGGTACAAGATGATCTGACTCCAATGAGCGTTTATTACTCCTTATATACAAGTTTTCAGGTCAGAGGCACACCCCCTGGACCTGGTGGTAAACTGTGACAAAAGGGACACAAACCAATGGGAACACTAATTAACATGATAACACTCTCACATACACAATGAAATCCCTCCTCTCCATCCTGGAGATAATTGGCTTAAGGCACTGCAGTAAACTCAATTATCTCCAGGTACAGAAAATATCTACATTTAACACTAACAGCAAAATACGTAAAAGTACATAAAAATACATAATTCTTATTTTATTACACAGAACCCCCACATTTAACCTATCCCCAGATAGCTCGGATCTGAGCGCCCAATCTAGGTGAACAGCGCTCAGATCCCATGAACAGAGTAGATTTTCCTTGGGGTAAAGCATAGCAAGGGCTGTTGAGAAACCAAGGAGGGACAAAAGCAGTCAGTTCCAACTGGTTTGGCAGTGTGCCTGGGACAACGCCCTGCTGGACAACAATAGACAGGAAACGGGGGAGGGGAAGAAACACACCTTCCCATGGATTCAAATGGGAAGAAACTGTCTTCAGAAGCCAATAAGCCCCAAATAGTCTTTTTAAATGGCAATACACCCCAGGGCCATAGTCATGAGGAAGGAGTCTGGCAATCAGGCTCCTCCAACAGCCGGGGGCAAAGGGCAGCTTGTCACCTAACAATCCAGGGACAAAAGGCATTTCGTCACAGTCTGTATGTGTGTATGTCTGTCAGTGTGTCAGTATGTCTGTGTGTGAGTCTGTCAGTGTCTGTGGTTCAGTGTGTATGTGTGTTTCAGTATGGCTGTCTGTGTATGTCAAAATGTCTGGATGTGTGTTTGTCTGTCAGTGTCTGTGTGTATGTGTGTTTCAGCATGTCTGTCTGTCTGTGTGTATGTGTGTTTCAGCATGTCTGTCTGTTTGTGTATGTGTGTTTCAGCATGTCTGTCTGTATGTGTGTATGTGTGTTTCAGCATGTCTGTCTGTCTGTGTGCCAGAATGTCTGTCTGTGTGCCAGAATGTCTGTCTGTGTGCCATGTCTGTCAGTGTGTCAGTATGTCTGTGTCTGTGAGTCTGTCAGTGTCTGTGTGTTTCAGTATGGCTGTCTGTGAGTTTCAAAATGTCTGTATGTGTGTATATCTGTCAGTGTCTTTGTCTGTGTGTTTCAGTCTGTCTGTGTGTGTGTGCCAGAATGTGTGTATGTCTGTCAGTATGTCTATGTGTGAGTCTGTCAGTGTGGTTCTGTATGTCTGTGCTTGCCAATATGTCTGTCAATGTCTGTGTGTATGTGTGTTTCAGTATGTTCGTCTGTCTGTGTGTATATGTGCCAGTATGTCTGTCAGTGTATCTGTGTGTGTGAGAGTCCATCAGTGTCTGTGTGGTTCAGTATGTCTTTGTGTATGTGTGTTTCAGTATGGTTTTCTGTGTGTGAGTCTGTGTCAGTACGTCTGTCAGAATGTGTCTCTGTATCTGTATGTTGTCCATTTGTATTTGTGTGTGTATCTGTATGTGTCAGTGTTTGTATCTGTATATCTGCATGTGTGTCAGGTTGTGTATCTGTGTGTCTGTCTGTCAGTGTGTGTGTCGGTGTATCTATAAGTAGTCAGTGTGTGTACCTTTGTATCTGCATGTATGTCAGTGTTTGTATCTGTGTGTGTGTCTATGTGTGTGTCAGTGTATCTATATGTAGTCTGTGTGTATCTGTATGTTCTTGTGTGTATCTATATGTGGTCAGTGTGTATCTGCATGTGTGTCAGGTAGTGTATTTGTGTGTATCTAGACGTAGTCAGGGGGCCCAAGTAAATGCTCGCCCAGGGTCCAATCTAAATTAAAGACAGCCCTGGTTTTAGTATAGGCAACAAAACAACTTTAGCTTAATGAAGCAGTTTGTGTGGATAGATCATATCTCTGCAGTCTCACTGTGCAAGTTATAGCACTTTGTTTATGCAGCCCTAGTCACATCTCCCTGCATGTGACTTCCACAGCCTTCCTAAACACTTCCTGTGAAGTGAGATCTAATGTTAAAACTTCCGTTACTGGGCCGCCTGTTTAATCTAGAATTTCTTATCTCCTTCTCTGTTAATAACCTTCTAGGCCCTGCAGGGGCCCCTTTGTGTGTGACTGAAGTTTAATTTACAGAGTAGTAGATACAAATGTCTAAAGCAAGTTAAAATCTAGTGAAAATGAAAAACAAAATTGCATGCAGGCTGTGTGTGTCACGACCAGGGGAGGTGTGGATGGAGCTGCATTGACAGAAACATAAAGTGATTTATCTCCTAACTGGCAGAGAATTGGCAGTTAGACTGCAGAGACATAATCTATACACTAAAACTGCTTTATTAAAGCTAAAGTTGTTTGGTGCCTACAGTGTCCTTTTAAAATGCTTGACTATGTCCAAAGGGGTACCTGGAGTGGAGGCCAGCCCATCGTTTTGTACCCTGCAATGTCCCTTCAATAATAGTTAATGGTAAACATTATGTGTGTAATGATATTGACACAATCACAAAGTACATAGTGCTAGTTTACCTTCCATTTTTATTCTGTATCATTATCTATTTATCACTCTTTACCTTGGCACCCATTGAAAAGTTAGGTCTCCATATAATTTTACTTCCTTTGTGCACCTTCTAATTCAGGAGATCAGCCTGCAACTACAAAGCAATACAGGTATCTGATCTGCAGCCAAAATATGTCCTCTATTATTACTTGCTGTACGGAGGTAAAATCTACTGAACCACTGCGGCTGCTGCCTGGGTTAGATTCTTGATAAAATGTGGTTACTGTTTATTAGATATTGGCAGAAGAGGTTATTCTGCTTCTCACTGATTTTTGCACTTTTACAGGCATTTCAGGCAAAACAATGCTTCTGGGATGGATTTCTATACTAAATTATTTCTTACGCTACTGAAATTAATTTTCAATTGTGAAAAATAATGTTTCTAAAAGGGGAATTGACCCCTGTTTTTTATGCTTTACAATTGTGCAAAAAAAAAAAAAAAATCCTTAAAGAATATATTTTTTAAGTCCCTGTTTAAGTCCCTGCTCTTTTTTTATTACTTAATAAAGGGTATTAGTAGATGTTTATGTACACTTGTCTATAAAAGGTGATGCCACTTATAAACTATTACCAATTATAACAACAAACTTGGCAGCAAGGCAAATATACGTTCCATCTTGCCACAAAAAAACAACAATATTGTGCGACAATCAAAGTTTCTGAAGCGTATAGTAAAGGAAAAGAGAAAGCGGAGCGCATTATGACAATGCAGTATATAAACAATACATGTAATACAGTGCAGTACCAAAACTTCCAGTATTACAAAATCAATATTAACCCCTAAACGGCCACGGACATACTAGGTACGTCCAACAAAAAATGGTCGTTAAGGAACACGGACGTACCTAGTGGCAAATATGAGCGCTATACTTACCTGCACCGGCGACCAGAGGTGATCCCAGTCAGGGGGGACTGCCGAGACCCCAGCAGTCCCCCTGCAGCAGCTCTGGCCGCCCTGGCCCTCCAGCTTTCCTATGGTAATATTGACCAGGGAAAGCTCTGTGTATTCTGAAATTATTGCCTCTTCCTTTCCATTCTGACCTCTGTAATGGATTTATAGTAATGCTGGTCCATGATGAAGGGGTGTGAGGCTGCTACCTTATCTACATACTCAGAGAGTAAGAATTTTAATGAGACAGGCCTTCTGATGCCTATAGTAACTGAGAGAACTCAAGAGACCAGAAATGTACCATTTAATAGCTAATCCTTCCAATGAACTTCCTTGATTCCCTACTCACTCACCTGAGACTGATGCATTCTGAAACTGAAGTAAAGGTTCAGTTTCAGTGGGGAAAAAAAAAAATATCTGGATAGAAGGTCCGAGGTCAGTGAGACTATTTCCTTAGTCACAGCAGATAGTTGAAAAAGGACAGAGGGTTCCCGTAGAATAGAAAACCAAACAGTGCTCGGTTACATCAGGAATAACTGCACTGGGATGGGGGCAGTGGAGGTATCTATACTACAGGACTTATACAGAAACTAAATTCTAAATTAAATAAAGCATTAATACATAGTGTGCACCTGACACATGGAGAAAGGAAGCACTGGAAATAATAATTGCAATTTTATTCTTACAGCGTATAGCATAAGCAGAAAATTCTTATTCTTTGATGGTAGTGATTATGACAAATGAAGTTTAGGAGGAATCATTCCTCATGGGTGACAAGACAAATCTATTGTCTTAAGCATAATTATTGATGATCTCCACTCCAGAAGGACACTGGAAGCTGTGGCGTTCATCAATGGTTAGAAATAATATCATCACCTATCCAAATATAATTCTTTAATTTTAATGCCCAGATTATATAAATGGCATCATATTAATAAAAGACATGGCAGCATGAATCTATTTAATAAGGTATAGAAACCTGATATTCTCTATTGCATCTTATATCAATGGCTTCTATTAATCAAACACACTTCTGCCTGTCTGCCTGCTCAGTACTTGTCCTTACATTTTTGGGCATAAGGCCAAGGACCTTCAGGCTAAGAAACAACCTTCTTTCTTAGGAAGCAATAAAGTTCTTTCATCACATAAAGTATAAATGCAAGTCATTTTACTGTTTCAGAGATACAACATAAAGAAGCTTATAGATGAATTTAAACAGACACTTTATGGAACAATGCTTCTAGATTCATGTTCTATTCTATTCTATTTTATTCCATTCCATGTACAAATATTGCAGATGCATTGCAGATGGGAAAATAAATCCCCAAATAATTAAAATGTACTCTTTTGGCTCCTAAATACAACAGTACATTATAAGATGTTTAAAATTACATGTGAGAGTGTTCTATGGGTATCTGTATACCAGTAATTGGGAAAAAATACTAATTTGCTTGGGCTAGCAAAATTGAAGCTGCTTTTTTAAAAATTGTATTCATGCTAAATTATGATAACAAATAATGATTATGATGATGATGATAATAAATAAATTTGTATAATATGGGCTATGTTTAGGACACCAAACCCCTATTTAAACATGGTTATCAATTAAACATCAAATTGTAAAATTCAGATTAAGTAAGGAAGTTGTGATTTCTGAGTTGGAGAATTTTGCGAATTTTTCCATTTTGCATATTTTTGCCTATATTTTGCCATTCAATTATCAACAGGAGACCATTTATTTGTTTGTTCCATACTATTTTCTATATATTCTACCAGCATTGCACTAGTTAAAGGGGCACTATAGTCACCAGAACTACAGCTTAGTGTGCCTGCAGGCATTTTAATGTAAACACTGCCTTTCCAAAGAAAAAGCATAGCTGTCTAGGAACACCACTAATAGCAGTCACTCAGACGACAAATAGAGGTGCTTCCTGGGTCAGAGCTGCACATTGTGCAGTTCTGATCCCTCATCTCCACACTCTGCATGGAGGCGCTAAATGTTCCTTATAAAGATGCATTGATTAATTTCCTATGGGAAAGCATTGGATTGGCTGAGATCATCAAAGTTGCCAAGGAGGCGGAGCATAGGTGGGGACAGCCGTGACGAGACCAGCACGTTGTGGGAAAAAGGTAAGTAAAATACCTTTTTCACAGGAGGCAAGAGGGGCCAGGCAGCTAAACAGTATAGTGTTTTCACACCTATGGTGTCAGGAATACATGCCTGTCACTATAGTGTTCCTTTAAAACTTTCTACTAGCAGACGGGATGGAAGACTGAGATATATTGGGGAGATTTATCAAAGTGCCATTAGCACTTTTGCGCTTAATATTTGGAAAATGTTTGCAATAATTTATTAAATCTGTTGGGTTTCTTTATCTGTTGCATCTTTTGCATCCTGTTATTCTTGAATGCAAGCATTTTTTCAGACTAACTAATTTTTCCATCACGTTATCCAACAAAAAAGTGTCCTGTATTCCTTCTCTTTTTTTTTGTACAACTATAACTTTGGTGTTCTTCACTGTTTGAACATTTTAAACATTTGGCTATCAAAGTAATGATAGAACTCAGGTGCCACTTTTCAGAACATGTTGATAAATATCCGTTCAGTGTGTCTTTGTATGTGCTGATATTTTGGCCACAACCATTTGTAATATAAAATTAATTTGGAAATAATACAGTTTTTTTTTATGGTTCTCCTTACGTTTATCTTGATTCTACAGCCTGGTCAAACATGGAGATGAGTGTTTCGAGCCCAGTGCTTGTCCTTGTTCTTGGAAAGCTAAGGAATATTATCCTGGAGACATAGTTAATTCTTCCTGCCATACATGGTGAGTTCTCTGTATTGCATAAACAATAATATAAATTACATTTTTTTTCAGTTTTTACTAGATTGGGGGAGACAGTCTTGATAATGATGTGTACTTATGTGACTTTTATACGAGGTTTTTCTTTTTATTAATCTTATTTATCTGACATAGTTTATTAGCTTTGTCTTATAAAATTTGTCTTAAACCTCATCTTGGTTCTTATTGTTTGTATGTAGTATACATTCATCATTTTAAATTATTTAATAATTTGCTTTCATATTTTCCATTTTTTTTAAATCTAAATTGAATTAAAAATTATACATTTTGTCTGATTTAAGTATTGATTATTTTTCCTGACTTTAGGTTGGATTCTCTTTTACATACAAAGTTAAATGTGTATAATATATTTAAACATATAATAAAGAAATAATTCGATGAGATGATCCATTACAAAAAAAAAAAAACTAGAGATGTACCCATTCTGTAATTCAGGTCTTCTGATTTACCAGTCAGACTAAGCTGCCAAATTAGATTTGTTCTGATAGATAAAATTGATATAATTGGTAGTTCAGCTGCATAAATATTTTATTTGTCATATTTGAAATGTAATGAAAGGATCCCAGACTTTCACTGCTTGAACAGCCTGTCTCCTGCCTGTAAAACACATAAAAAAATATGCAAATTAATAAATGCATACTATACAAAACACAATGTAGCACTTGTTACAATTAATTTTCTGATATTTAATTATATTAGTGTTTGCCAACACGGGTCCTTTCAGTGCACATTTCACCCGTGTCCAGCCATGTGCACAACATATGGGGATCGTCATTACAAAACGTTTGATGGCCTGGCATTTGATTTTGTGGGGGCATGTAAAGTCCATCTCATTAAGGTAAGAGTAAAATCTTGTAAAACATATATTAATGCAATCTTTCAATTACTAGAACTAATTTGTAACATATTCGTAACCTCTCCTCACCTGAAATCCCTCTGTTAACAAACTGCATCCTTAACCATGGTTTAAACACTCATAGGTATATGTGAGTGCATATATATCTATGATTATATATGTGCATATGTATAATTTTCATATCTATATAACAAAACACATTTGCTCTAAATAATGTTCACCCTTCTATTTTTCACTTTCACACTAACTTCTCTCATTACTAAAATATCCCTATCCTTCTGCTCACCTGTCCCTGGCAACACCATCTTCATTACTTCCACTTTACTCCCCTTCCTTTCCAGCCTATCTGATCCAACTCCTCCCAAATCCTCTATATACATACCCTCCTACAAAACTTTCAAATCCTACTCTCCCCTTCACTTCCTTTCTATCCTTCTGCTCCTAGCAGCTGATGATGTCTCTCCAAACCTCGGTCCCATCTCAGCAAACTCAACACATACTAACCCAAGGATCCACACTAATCTCATACCCATCTCATGTTACTCTTCCTCTAAATCCTCCTTCAATACTGCTCTCTGGAATACACGCTCTGTTTGCAATATTACAAAATCCAGTGCTGTCCATGACCTCTTCATCTCTCGTCCCCTAGATTTACTAGCCTTAACAGAAACATGGCTCTCCCCCTCTGACACTGCTACCCCTGCATCTATATCCTTTGGTGGTCTTCACCAAGAAACTCTGAATGTAAAGGTGGTGATGTAGGGTTTCTTCTTTCACCTCACTGCTCCTTCAAACCCTTACCCACTCCCCTTCCCTCTCTATCCCATCATTTGAAATTCATTAGATTAACTTTTTCAAACCCGTCTCTGCTAACATTGCAGTTATTTATCACCCTTATGGTTCCCATCTCCTCTTCCTTGACCCCTTTGCTGACTGGCTACCCTACTTCCTCTCCTCTAACATACCATCACTAATTTTCGGGGACTTCAACATTCCCATTAACCCACCTTTGACCTCAGAAGCCTCTAAACTACTTTCAATTACTTCCTCCCTTAGGCTATCACAGTGGGCTAATTCTCCCACCCATGTAGCTGGCAATACCCTCAACGTCATTTTCTCTTATACATGTACAGTATCTGAAATATCTGCAACACTCTATTTCCTCTCTCTGATCACCACCTCTTATCGTTTGCTCTCAAGTACCCCCTCACCCAACAACCTCAGCCTAACGCCCCTCAACTCAGGATGAACCTTAATTCTATTGACCTCCAGCAGCTATCAGCTGATATTGATTCACAACTGCTATCCATCCCTTCTCTCTCCTGTCCCTCGGTGTCCACCTCCACAGATAACACTACGCTCACCTTTGCCTTGAACGCTGCAACCCCTCTCCAAACATGCACCTCGAGGAGGACACGCCCCCAACCGTGGCATACTATATCAACATGCTACCTGCAAAGATGCTCCCATTGTGCTGAACGCTCCTGGAGGAAGTCTAGCACCCAGACAGTCTATCTCCATTACAGATTCATATTGTGTACATACAGCGCAGCCCTTGCCCTCGCCGAACAGTCATACTTTTCCTATCTCATTAGTTCATGCTCCCACAATCTCAGGTGTCTTATTGACACCTTTAATTCTCTTCTTCGCCCTGCTGTGGCCACCCCCCAAACTAACCTTACAGCGATAGTTTTGCATGTTACTTTACCGACAAGATTGAACAGCTAAGGAAAGAATTCTCCCCACCTTGCTGTTCTCTTTCTCAACCACACGTTGATCATGCCTTTCCTACCCTTCACACTTTCTCCCCAGCTACTGAACAAGAGGTGGCTGCTGTTCTCCTTTCCTCTTGGCCCCCCACTTGCCCGTTCGATCCTGTCCCATCTCACCTTATCAGATCTCTCTCCCCCTGTCTTGTGCCTTCCTTAACACACATCTTCAAATGCTCTCTCTTCTGGAGTTGTCCCTGCTGACCTTAAACATGCCACTGTAGTACCTATCCTGAAAAACCCATCCTTGACCCGTCCTCTCCCTCTTACTATCGTCCCATATCCCTGTTCCCCTTTTCCTCAAAGCTTCTGTAAAGACTTGTCTTTACCAGTATGTCTCACTTCCTCAATACTAACTCTCTCCTTGACTATCTTCAAGTTTGCTTCCGCCATCTCCACTCTACTGAGACTGCTTTTATCAAAGTTACTAACGACCTAATCGCAGCTAAATCCAAAGGCCAGTACTCCATACTAATTCTTCTTGACCTCTCTGCAGCCTTCGACACCGTTGCTCATGCTCTCATTCTTCAAACTCTTCAATCATTTGGTCTCAGTGATTCTGTCCTCTAGTGGTTTTCCTCTTATCTCTCCCAACACTCATTCAGTGTCTACTTTTCTAATGATACCTCTTCCCCTCGTCCTGTCTCAGTTGTGGTCCCCCAAGGCTCTGTCTTTGGTCCCCTTCTATTTTCTATTTATACTGCCTCTCTTGGCAAACTTAATTCCTCATTTGGATTCCACTACCACCTGTACGCTGATAACACCCAGATATATCTCTCCTCTCCGGACCTCTCCCCTGCTGTCCTGTAACGTGTCACTGCTTGCCTTTCTTCCATCTCTGACTGGATGTCGTCCCGTTTTCCAAAACTCAATCTCTCTAAAACTGAGCTCCTTGTCTTTCCTCCTCCTAATACTGATCCTCCTCTTTCGCTCTCCCTTCAAGTTAGTGGTATCCACATCAGTCCATCTTTGCAAGCACACTGTCTTTGCATCATACTTGATTCTGGCCTCACCTTTGAGCCTCTCATCCAGTATGTTGCCAAGTCCTTTAGATTTCATCTTAAAAACATAGCCTGTGTCCGCCCCTTTCTTACGCAAGATGCTACTAAGGAGCTTGTCCATGTAATTTCCCGCATGGATTATTGTAACCCTCTCCTAATTGGTCTTCACAAAAGCCTCACTGGCCCCGCTACAGTCTGTAATGCTGCTGTCAGACTGATTTTCCTCTCTAGTCGGTCTTCTCACACCTCACCCCTCTGTCAGTCCTTACATTGGTTTCCTGTATCCTATAGGAGTCAATTCAAATTATAGCCCCTGTTATATATTTTCACAGATCCAAAATACCCTTCTCGGTCTCTCCGCTCTGCCCGTGACCTTCTCCTGTCTGCTGCTCTCTCCAACTCACGCTTGCAGGACTTCTCCCGGGCGGCTCCCTTCCTATGGAAGTCTTCAGTCATTTAAGAATGCCTTAAAACCCATCTCTTTAGGAAAGCTTATGGCCTCCCAGAGTAACCTCTACATTACATACCTGTCTCTTGCTCTCTCCAAAAGAGCAGCACTGTACTCTCTCCTCCAGCTCTGCTTAACTCCCACCTTATTTGATTGCTATTTCAAGTCCTAATGTGTTTTATACCCCACCTCCTATAGACTTTAAACTCGTTTGAGCAGGGTCCTCTTCAACCTATCATTCCTGTTAGTTTTCTTGTAATTGTCCTATTTATAGTTAAATCCCCCCTCTCATAATATTGTAAAGCGCTACAGAATCTGTTGGTGCTATATAAATGGCAATAATAATAATAATAATATTACCCTGTGTGATTACATTTAACTATACATGGAGCACAATTAACAACTCAACTACTGGAACAACACTGGCATTTGGTACAACTCCTCAGCAACTTCGTTCCATCAAATTCCTCTTCCATCTTCTATGTAATAAAACGAGTTGAAAAATAATAAAGGCTCACATCTAAAGGGTTTGTAAAGAATTACAAATGGTATTATTGTTTAATATCAGTGTAAGAAATTGCTATTATGGAATGATTTATGATAATTCACAGGAAGTTTGTGTGTGCACAGGTGACATACTATTATGTATGTGAATGCAAATAAAGCTTTAAATAAACATATATTTAAAAATAAAAATAAATAGAAGGTATCACCTGGGACTCAATGGGTGTTGGTTAAATTTGCACTGATACAAGTTGGCCCCTGAATAGCAGTATGTAAAACTAACTCCAGTAGGTTGCCTAATGTATTTTTATTATTTTTAATATTATTATTATTATTGCTGATATTAGTATTTGTAAAGCTCCAAAATATTCTGCTATACAATCTGGGGAAATAAATAGTACAGTATAGACAAATCAATGCAATCTGTGTGACCTGAGATCTAGCATTTACTTTAATTGGCTCAAGAGCTTACAATCTAAACTCCAGTGGCATTGCATTTTCTTTCAGGGCCTGTCACCGAGCAGCTTTTCAGTCATCGCAGAAAATGTTAATTGTTACGGTGGAATAATCTGCAGGAAGACATTATCGATCAGTGTGGGAAAGTCTGTAATTATATTTGATGATGAAACAGGAAATCCGGTATGATGTCACCGATAGATCTTGGTTTTTTAATAGGTTTATTTCTTGTCAAATATAAACATTTAATATTTTTTCTACGAAAGAAGCATATCGGCATACTATAATGCGATTAGTTTTGTATTCTGTCAAGCAGGGCTTCAAAGTACTTCCCGGCAGAATATCGAATTCATGTAAAATGAATTAAGTAATCATTGCAGCTCCTTAGAAATCTTACTAATTGATTTTGTGCAGGCTAAGATTTTTGGGATATGTAGTTCACAAGAATCTTCCGTGCCTAGGTTAGCCATTACATTATTAGTTTGTTATTCTTGCTTTTTATATATATATATATATATATATATATATATATTTTTATTTATTTTTTTTAGTTTACATGTAAGTAGTACCAGTATAAGAGTGCATATTCCTACAGCTATCAGATTATACTCCACAGTTAACACACAGTATTTAAAACTTACGTTAACCCTTAAATACGATACCAAAGTAACCATCATTTTAAAATAATTGTGGCTTGGTTTAATAATCATTAAAATGTCTAATTCATAAATTATTTTCACACTATATTGTTTTCTTGTTTAATTTTGTGAATTTTGTTGACTGTCTGATTTTTAACAGAGCCCAATGAGTGTCATAGATGAAAGGCAATCTTTACATGTATGGCAAGCCGGCCTTTTTACATTTATCCACTTCCCTTCTGAGCGTATTACTCTGCTATGGGACCAGAGAACCACAATTCATATACAAGTGGGGCCAAAATGGCAGGTAAGTTATTTGGCTAGGAGTGGGGGTGCATCACATCTTTAATTACTATTTTAGCGTTACCAGTTCTGCAAACATGCCTTCCAATCTCCTTAGAATTTTTTTATTTTACTTCGTCACAAAACACTTTTCCCCTTTTCACTCACCCATTTATCCACTTCAGTTCTGATATGCACTTTCTGAAGAGCGATCATTATATGTATAATGCATAGTGTCCAATAGGTGGGCAATTATGAGTAAACCCCAGGTATGAATGGATCCAGATACTCTGTAGATCTACTTTTTTTTATATTTTTCTTCCGAGGAAGTGGGGGAAAATATTTTCCTCTGTCGCCAATCTGGGCGACGAGATTGCAGGATTTTATTTTATCTAACTTGCACATTATTTGTAGAAAGTTATGTGTTTTGACAATGTAATGCACTGATAACATCTATCTTTTTAAAGGGTCAGTTAAATGGACTTTGTGGTAATTTTGATCTGAAAACTGTAAATGAAATGAGGACTCCAGATAATTTTGATTTAATGAACTCTCAGGAATTTGGCAACAGTTGGGCAGCCGAGGAGGTAAAAATTATAATAAATGTGTTGTTTTTTTATACTTCCATTGTACATAAAGTATAATATTGGCTATTTACAAATAATAATAATAGTAACAGTAGGCACCGTGTTTAGTTTTAGAATCGCAAGGTGCATCACCAATCATTAAACTACACAAATATAACTTTGTTAATGATTGCTCACCTTGTACAGTCAATAGGACTCCACACGTAAAACAGTGTTTATGAATCCTGAAGAATTCATTGTCAGTGCAATAAAGTTACGTTTGGTAAATACCCAAGTTGGACATTTTTTTAATATTCATGTGAAAGTTATCTAATCTATAGTCTTATGCACAGCAAAAAAATGGGATCGGCTGGACCATTTTTTCTGAAAATAGAATTTTGGCTGAAAGTCAGTTCGGCTCGGCAGATTTTTGGAAACAAGATGGTTCAATAATATCGGCAGATTTTTGAAATGGGATGGTTCAGTAATATTATATTATGTATATATTTTGCATTACACTGATACGAGCAATTTCACACCATTTGGTTCTCAGATCAAGTGAAATAAAATAACCAATAAAGGGAAAATAGGAGGCGCATTAAAAAAATCCATATTTGTATATTATATATTTATTGAGTATATAATACATATTATATAAATATAGATTTATTGTTACTTCTAATGTTTCCCCTCTCTTGCTCAGTTCTCACTTAAATTTGTAAATAAAATCAACCTTCAGTAACTGTCCCGTAGCTGTCAATCATCTTTTATTCCCATCAATAATTTCTTTTTTTGGTGCCATGGGTGGTGTTCGGACTCAAACATGTTCGGCATTGTGCAGTTCAGTTAGTCTGTAAATCAGGTAGATTTGTACAGAACACTGGTGAGACCTCACTTGGAGTATTGTACACAGTACTGGAGACCGTATCTTCAGAAGGATATTGATACCTTAGAGAGGGTTCAGAGAAGGGCTACTAAACTGGTTCATGGATTGCGGGATAAAACTTACCAGGAAAGGTTAAAGGATCTTAACATGTATAGCTTGGAGGAAAGACGAGACAGGGGGGATATGATAGAAACATTTAAATATATAAAGGGAATCAACACAGTAAAGGAGGAGACTATATTTAAAAGAAGAAAAACTACCACAACAAGAGGACATAGTCTTAAATTAGAGGGACAAAGGTTTAAAAATAATATCAGGAAGTATTACTTTACTGAGAGGGTAGTGGATGCATGGAATAGCCTTCCAGCTGAAGTGGTAGAGGTTAACACAGTAAAGGAGTTTAAGCATGCGTGGGATAGGCATAAGGCTATCCTAACTATAAGATAAGGCTAGGGACTAAAGAAAGTACTTAGAAAATTGGGCAGACTAGATGGGCCGAATGGTTCTTATCTGCCGTCACATTCTATGTTTCTATAATTCGGGTGATCACCCGATCAGCCCGAATTTGGCTGAATTGCTGTATAGACCAAAATGAATCTCAAAAGTCCAATTAACTTTTCAAGAGTGAGCTTGGAACAAGTTAAGGGATAGATAAATTCCTTATTTTTGAAGTAATGTATCAATCAAAGAATGTGCAGAGTAATTTGTGTAATTATCAGAATTTATGCTATCAATCTAAAAATGTATCTAAACCCTGAAACTCAAGAAACATATCTGATTTAATGATGTTATTTTATGTATAACTTTATGTACTATCAGTGAAATACTATTAATATTTCCGCAGAGAGCACCACTTGATTCATGGGTGGCATTACTTCAATTATAGAATATTGAACTGTGTGGCATAAGTTATATAATGTAATACATACATACTGAAGGCTAGCGGTGCGCTACAATGAATCCTTGATCAGCTACGAGAGGGTTAACATCTTTATTATCCTCATAACTCTCTTATTAAGTGCATCGATGGCTCTGACATTAGGAATCCATGCAGTTTGAATCCACTCCGAGAACCTTTTGCCAAGAAGGAGTGCGGAATCCTCTTGAGTGATGTGTTTGAAGATTGCCACCCAGTGGTGAGTTGGAAGAATGCATATTTTTATCTTGGGATTTTTTATAACACATCTTTTTTTCAGTAATGTGATGTTCAATATGTGCAAGTGAGCTGATGTTTGTACAGCTTATTTATGACTAACTGAATGGCTTATTGTATGGCTTATTGTGTAGTTAATTGTTAAGCTAATTTAACAGCTTATTGTATGGCATATTGCACGTTTGTAGCCAAGGGATGTGCACTAATGTGCTTGCTACTAATAAATCCAAAAATGTGGAAATCGCATGACCTTTTTTATCCACCTCTGTTTATTCAAGGAGGACGTAAGCTTATTGTTTCTTCCCAATATTTGAAAAAATGGAACATTGGTATTTTCTAAAAAAGGATTCCATGACTGTCAAATTGATACATGATTTAAAAAAAGGCAAACATCTCACCAATGTTGATATTTGTGTGAGGTTTGTAGGAAAATCCATAAAATTTGACATTGGCGGGTGGCCAATCCCAATGAAACGGTGTACTTTAAATATTAATAAAATAATCAGCCTCATATTATATTATTAAATATTATGTTCTTAAAATTAAATTAAAATCTTATAAAGAAGGATTTATTTTGCATAAGGGTAATTCTTTTTGAGGTTATTTACAAATAAATTATTTGTGTTTTTTTTTTTTGTATTTTATTTTGAAAAAGGATTAAAAGAATAACATATAAAGAATATAGTTTAACACTGGTCTGCCTTTGAATTTATTCAGACGAATGCTTGTTTGATGGAAATAACAATCCAACTATCGAAAACATATACATATTTGATTATTATACTTTAGGTGGACGTAACCTGGTTTTACTCAAACTGTCTCTCAGACACCTGTGGTTGCAACCGAGGTGGCGACTGTGAGTGTTTCTGTACAAGTGTTTCGGCGTATGCTCATCAGTGCTGTCAGCATGGAATTACTATAGACTGGAGATCGCCAAGAGTCTGCCGTGAGTATCCAAACTGTAAAATGGTCTTAATATGTAATTTAATATAGAGCCATTAAGCGACTTTCCAACATGAGAATCTCCCCTCTTGCCAGCTGAAAAGTTAAGATGTAATTTTATTTCATTATTAATGTTCTGATTTCTGTCATCCTCATCATCAAATTGTTTCTAGTTAATTAGGGTCTCAATTTAATATTTTTGGATAAGCTTTTGAAATGATTTATTATTTTTAGACAATATAATATTTTTTAATAATTTTAATAATTTAATATGCTTGTTTTTTTATATATGATGTATTTTTAATATTTGGAAATACAAATTCATAATTCATTAAATCATTTGAAAAGCTAATCCAAAAATATTAAACTAAGGCCTATGTTGCTAATTTTAATAAATAGATTAATTTATTAATTATGTATATTATAGCCCTCTTTGTTTTTATTAGGATAGGAAATGTCACATATTTTCATGTTTTATCTACATTTTATCTATCTTTCGGAACTCAGACTAACTTGATTATGAATAAACACATTCTCTCTTTCTCTCACTAATTGGATTGTGTATCTATTAATTAGTCTAGTATTATCACATTTATCTATTTTTGGAATAAACTTGTGTCTGGAATAAACGTGACCTGTTATGAATAAATTAACTCAGTAATCTGATACACGTTCTTTCTCTAAAATATGTATTTCACAACACACAAAAAACCCTCTGTACATTTTTTTTAGTTATAATACTATTATAGTAATATTATTGAATATGTTAATAAGATTCAAATTTGAGCTCATTATTGATTTGTCTTCTCCATTTTAGCATATGACTGTGAATACTTTAATAAAGGTAAGTGTTTTACAAATAAGTGTCGTTTTTGCTAAGACTGTTCAGATAAATGTATTTTCTTAAATGTCTCACATTTCCTAAACTTGCTGGTATTAACTGAGATCTGTCCCTCCCTCTGATACTGCTACCCTTGCCTCATTATCCTTTGTTAGTCTCCAATTAACTCACATCCCAAGACAATCTGAAAATAAAGGTAGAGGGGCAGAGTTTTTGCTTCCCCCCCCCCGGTGCTCTGTCCACCAGAGGCATACTAATGCAGAAGGTGGGGTACTACCTACTTACCGGCACACTTATCACAGGGTTTATCAGTGTGACGGGTGCACTATACTTCATGTCAGAAGCTACTGTATAATGTTCTTCTGCTACCATTTTATACTGAGGTTAGTACTTGGAGGACTTTTTGCTGACATACCACAGAAAGCTACTTATTTAGCAAGGGCCTAATAATACAATATGATAGTCCCATTTCTAATGACCCAAGGATTTAGCTATTGCTATCCCACGCTAACCTGCCTAGTTTTACCTGAGACATACCTGCTGTGACATTACTTGCTTTTAAACCAATGTACCTTTACATTCACATCTAGGCTCTTTGAAGCTACTTTAAAGACGGACACACCATTATCTCACTACCTCAGATACCGTATTATGGTTATGCCATAGATTGCTACCTGTTCTGTACCCCCTTTTTTGAAACTACAATGGTATATTACCTGGCTACCTATGATATACACAACTAGCTGTTCAATTCTTTCACGGGTCACATGTCACTTCTTTGCTTGTCTATTTAGCTCATTGGGGGCAGCTACTACCTCAACATTACGCATTTCCAGGTATTTTTTAATGTCACTTGTTATTTTTAATAATTCACTTCAGCACACCGAGCTTACACCAATATATTCGTCCAATTTAGCACGTAGTTTAATCACATTAGGCACTCTTACACTTTGAAATTACCTTAGGGACAGATATGTCGACAACTCACTATTTCAGTCACCATATTATTGTTATGACATTGATTGCTACTTGTTATGTAACCGCCTGGTTTACAATGCAGTGGTATGTAAACTCACTACCGCCGATGTAAACAAGTAGTTATTTCTTACTGCCTATCTTCAGGTGTCTGGTGTGGTTTCACCACTTGTTTACTTAGCCCTCCGAGGCTCTGTTGACGTATTACTTTCTCAATAAAAATCTATTCAAAACAAAATTCCCTTAGACTTTTAATTGTGATTTCTGTAGATAAATAATTTGGAAGTGTTTCCTACAATAATTTTAAAGCTTATTAAATTAAGGTCCATATTTGCTCTTGATAAAATCAGTATCAACATGACTAGTGGAAGGCTACAATGAACCTTTATGCTAGCCATAAAAAAAGATATACAAACAAATGATAAAATAAATACAGTAAAAAAAAGTCCTTTGGCGCTCCTTCCAACTTCTGAACGCAGAAGTCAGAAGGAGTGCCAAAGGACTTTTTTACTTTATTGATTTTATAATTTGTTTTTAACTTAATATCTCTTAATAAATTTGCATTTTCATACCTACAAATTATCTTGTGGATTTACAACCATCATCTGCTCCTACGTCAAAGAAGGGTTGTTTCCACCTCCTTTGGCCCATATGCCTTATCACCTAGAGCCAGGTCTTAAAGGCTCCAGCAGCTACTGCTGCTGTTTTTATTTCCTCCCGATTGGAGGACAGAAGGGGGATTATGTCACCAGATTACACACCTACCTGTGAGGTCCGATCCTATCCACAATAGGCTCAGCTCGGTGTGAGTGTATCTATTATATTTTAAATACACTCTGTTCACATATATTACACTACATATAGTTTTTATTTTATGGAGCACTTTAGCATCATACATCCCTTTATAGTCATATATATATATATACACACATAAAAGGGTAAGTGATTTTTGTATTGCTCCACTGTATTCACTGGTGCTGGCTTTTGACACTCAGTTATTTAAAAAAAAATACAAAAAAATTGTGAATAAGATTTGTATTGGTTGTTAAACAAAGGATTAAGTGTAGCACCATTGGACATGCAGGTCCAAGTCAACAAACATTTCTATGTCACGCAGGACCATTAAAATGAAAACGAATCGAGAGACGTAGATCCCTCCCAATATATCAGGTCATTTCCAGCAAAACACAATATTAATATGAAACTAGGGGGCTGCACTCACCTGAACATGCATAAATGGGGTGCTGCTGGAGGCCAATTCATACAATACACAAAATCTAGTGCACTCACCTATCCACTAAACAGCAACTTTAATGTTGACAGAATTCATTCTCATTCTAATATTTAAAGTTTCAAGTCATTGAACTTTAAAAACATTCACATATATAAAACAATTTATTTATATGGGTGCCTACTCACTCACTAGCAGGCACACACACACACACATACAAGCTCACTCACTAGCACACACATACAAGCTCACTCGCTAGCAGCCACACACACAAGCTCACTCACTAGCAGGCAAACACACACACACACACGACCACTCACTGGCAGACACACACACACACACACACAAGCTCACTCACTAGTATACACACACAAAAAAAGCTCACTCACTAGCAGGCACACACACATACACAAGCTCACTCACTCGCAGGCACACACACACACATACACACACAAAGCTCACTCACTTGCAGGCACACACACACACAAGACCACTCACTAGCAGACACACACAAGCTCACTCACTAGCAGACATACACAAAACAAGCGCTCACTCACTAGCAGACACACACACATGCTCACTCACTAGCAGACACACACACACACACACACAAGCTCACTCACTAGGCACAAACACACAGTCATTGCTGAAGCTTACCTGGCACTGGTAGGTGAAGTTGCCATTTTGTGCCCTCTTCCTTTCAGAGAGGTCAGCAACATGTGTGCGAGGGTGGAGCTTCTGTCCAGGAGGCAGAGCTTCCCTCTAGGAGGCGAGGCTTACATGCGCGGGCCGGACATGTGGATAGAACTGATGTCAATTGTGCAGGGAGACTGACATGTTCTCCCTGCAGCCGCCAGCAGCCTGATTGCAACCGCACCAGCCCCAAGCTCCTCCCGCTTTACTACTGTTGGACTGACACAGGCTGGCACAGTCTGAGGGGAAAATACTTAAAATTCATTAGCCTAATCATTTGGGCTGTCTGCATGGCCCCAGGTTCCTGTGGCCCACAGGGAAATTTCCCGGTATCCCGGTCAGCCAGTCCGGCCCTGCCCCTATTCCCTTCCCGGTCCCATCCTAAGAGGGCTTAAGGTCACTCAGTTAGTTAATTAACTTTTGCGTAATAGTATGTCAAGTTGGAGAGGTATTTATGCTTGTGTGGGAGCTGCTGGTTTATGTTTATTTTATTTTATTTAAAGGGACACTGTAGTCACCTGAATAACTTTAGCTTAATGAAGCAGTTTTGGTGTATAGAACATGCCCCTGCAGCCTCACTGCTCAATCCTCTGCCATTTAGGAGTTAAATCCCTTTGTTTATGAACCCTAGTCACACCTCCCTGCATGTGACTTGCACAGCCTTCCATAAACACTTCCTGTAAAGAGAGCCCTATTTAGGCTTTCTTTATTGCAAGTTTTGTTTAATTAAGATTTTCTTATCCCCTGCTATGTTAATAGCTTGCTAGACCCTGCAAGAGCCTCCTGTATGTGATTAAAGTTCAATTTAGAGATTGAGATACAATTATTTAAGGTAAATTACATCTGTTTGAAAGTGAAACCAGTTTTTTTTCATGCAGGCTCTGTCAATCATAGCCAGGGGAGGTGTGGCTAGGGCTGCATAAACAGAAACAAAGTGATTTAACTCCTAAATGACAGTGAATTGAGCAGTGAAATTTAGCTAAAGTAAGTTAGGTGACTATAGTGTTCCTTTAAGCGCCTTTTTGCAAAGAGTACTTGTTTTTTAGGTTTAATCGTCAGTCTGCAGTAAAATGGTGGTTTTATAAATACAAATTCTATAAACATATTATTACTAAAAAAAAATCTTCCCAGTAATGAACAAAAACAAATGACTGAACACACAATCAAAAGAGAAGTTTAACAGTCAGCAAAATAATTCAACAATAGGCAAGATCAGCAAAGAATGCTCTATTGGAATTTCTGTAGAATTTAAAACTAGCAGTTACAAATTGGCATAAATGTAAATGTTTGCAAAATGCTGACCCTTTAAATCAAACCATTTAATTCAGCTTTTTCCAGTTTAATTGCTCTACAGATAACGAGAGTCGTTGATAGGTCCAGCTGTGTTTTCCATCACTTTTCTCATTAAATAAGCATGCAGCTGTCATACTGACATGCCATAAATATAATCTGACAAAGGGGTGATTTAAAATCCATGCAATTACATCACAATTAGCAACTTCACATATGTATAAAGTTATGAAACTTCAGCTGGTAACTTTAGAACACATTCGATTGTGCTAATATTTGTAATTTTATTTTTAATTTCCTAATTTTTATTTTAGATTTTTTCATAGTTTGTATATATTTTATTATATAATATTTTAAAATTTGAGTTAATATTTTGGTGTAATTTTTTTTAATATATAACAGTCATCGAGCTCTCATTTCCTGGTTCTCGTTATTACATAATGGCAAAAAGCATGAAGTTTGTTTCTACTTCCTGTCCATTTACAATCACTTCTGATTTTTATAACTTTTATACTAACTACTAGACTTGTGCATTTGGGTTCAAACAGATTGTAATTCATCCGAATTTTGGACAGTTGACGATATATATTTAATAAATATATTATATATAAATATAGGTCACTATTAGTGATGTCCCGAACGGTTCGCCGAACGGTTCGTCACGGATGGCGAACATATGCGCTGTTCGGTCCGCCCCCTATTCGTCATCATTGAGTAAACTTTGACACTGTACCTCACAGTCAGCAGACACATTCCAGCCAATCAGCAGCAAACCCTCTCTCCCAGACCCTCCCATCTCCTGGACAGCTCACTAAGAATGCAGCTTCACAATGAATGTAAAATGGATGCTGTCCAGGAGGTGGGAGGGTCTGCTGCTGATTGGCTGGAATGTGTCTGCTGACTGTGAGGTACAGGGTCAAAGTTTACTCAATGATGACATAGGGGGCGGACCGAACAGCGCATATGTTCACCGTCCATGGCGAATCGTTCGGCGAACCGTTTGGGACATCACTAGTCACTACATATGGTCACTTCTTGCTTGATCTGTGAACAAAAGTGAGAAAAATGCACATATCAATGTGTTGCAAAATATACCAGTACATAACATTTTTTATATTTTATAATGTTTATATTATGTATACATTTTGCATTACACTGATTGGCCCGATTTAGATCCCTTTTGGTTTGTCTGAATCGTTTTTCTCCCGAAACGATTGCATGGATGACATTGGTCGGAATTAAAATGCCATATGGATTAATGCTGACCCGACAGACATAAAATTGTTTTACGGATGCTTCAATTCAGCCAAAGCAAAGTGTCAGAGTTGCTAATTTGCAAACTTTTTTATGGATAATTTTAAATGCATTGGCATGTTTTCTGTTCAGTTTAAAGAACTCATATTCCCTTTAAGATCAACATCTGCTGTAATTATTCCCCTATACCTAGTGAGATAGTTTACTGGGTTAAAGGAACACTATAGCGTTAGGATATAAATATGTATTCCTAATGCTATAGAGCCCTCGTCACCGTTTAGGTGACGAGGGCTCAGTTTCGCAGCGAATAAATGGTTAATTAACCATTTATTTGCTTACCTCCCTCGGCACTGGTGACCTCTCCTCCTCTATCGACGTCTACTTCTGAGTGGAGCAGAATGTGCATGCGCGGTCAGAGGTATGTGCGCATTCAAATACACCCATAGGAAAGCATTACTCAATTCTTTCCTATGGGGATCTTTTTTGACATAGGACTCCGTGAGGAAGCGCCTCTGGTGGCAATCAGGGAGACAGCCACTAGAGGCTGGATTAACCCTGCAGTGTAAACATAGCAGTTTCTCTGAAACTGCAATGTTTTCAGCTGCTGGGTTAAAACTAGGGGGACCTGGCACCCAGACCACCTCATTGAGCTAAAGTGGTCTGGGTGCCTATCGTGGTTCTTTAACAAAATAACAGGTTTATTTAGTAAAAAGTGAAAATTATCAAGAATTCAAAGTGAATTCAAATTTTAGGTGAAAATTGCTGAATTGGAAGTATAGCGGACTTGTAATTTATTTCCAGTTAGACTGTTTTGGTCTTAAAGGGACACTCCACTGCACTAATAAAAATAAACTAAATAAAAGTTGCTGTTTAGGAAATATACCCCTATGAAAACACCCATTTCATTATGTATTTTTCAGTGGCGATATATCAAAAAGCAGCGCTAAAGCTGGAGATCTCTTGTCTCCAGACTTCGTAAACCCTCCCCTACTAACTCCACCCAGACTTTCTGTGACTGTCCAATCAAAGACATCCCAATGCAACTTAATGAGTAGTCTTTGCAAGGCCGGTGCCCTGGCCAATTGCTGTCTCCTGAGTTTAGCTAACGAAACCAGGAAGTAACAGGACAAGTTATCTGATTGACAGTTAGGGAGTGCAACAAGGTAAAAGTTTTAGTTATAAGTATCCAATTTAACATTTTACATTCTGAACTCCATTTAACCTTTTTAACTTTTTATTAATGGGACACTCCAGACCCCTCAAACACTTTAGCTTGCTGAAGTGCTTTATGTGTGAAGTGTGCGTCCTCTTTTATTATTTTACAAAAAGTGCAGTTTTCAATAAAAATCTGTTAACCTTGGTACACCCGTTAGCTGCGAATCAGAATGTCTGGTCTACAGACAAGAGATTTGCAGCTTTTGCAAGCTGTTTTTTTTTTTTTATGAACATCAATAAAAAAGGTATAATTAAATACATACATGGTATATCTATTAAACTGTGATTTTTCTTGTTTTTGTATTTAAGCAATAAAGTGTTCCATTAATATATAAAAGTGCAAATCGAAATCTGCACGTTTGTAAAATAAAAAACACTCACATCAGAAAGCTAAAGTGCTTTAGGGGTCTAGAGTCTCCCTTAAAGTTTGAAATTCACTTTCAGTTCCTCATAGTTCTCAATTTAGTGAATAACCCTGAAGCTGTAGAAATTATTCAAACCTCTGGATCACAAGTTATACACTTTTAGCTCCGTCTATAGTCCAACACACACACTCACATGTATGTATAATGAGAAAAAAAATGTATATGAAAATTAAACATTTTAACATTTTTAAAAGTACTTACAATTTATATTAATAATTATATTTATGTGCAAAAACTGCCAAAATACATTATTTTAAGCTTTATTAATAAATTTCGATCACATGTGAACATTTTGTTATCTAAATAATTATCTAAATAATATATCCTATAAAATTGATACAATAACAGTAAGAATAGATTCCGAAACTCTCTTTCCATTCCATTAACATTTTGGTTATTAAATTATTCATCTGTGTTTACATGTATTTCTTAAAGATGCCTCTGGGGGGCAGTAAAGGTTCATATTCATCAGTGCAAGCATCTGGCCTGCTCGTGAATTTAATTTATAATAACAATAAGGATAATGTTGATCTATATTTTTACAAGAAAACAAATTAATACTGCTAACTCTGTATACCCTGGTGTATATGGACAAGTGACAAGAGAATTGCACATTTCAACTTCTACACTGTGAGGAATCAGGTCAACGTGATGGAATTAGAAATTTCTCATAATTCAACCATTTTTACAGCTTAAGTGTTTCAGGTGAACATTTATTCGTAATTCACTTGAACTTTCTTCGCAATCCCAGGTTTAATGATGAAAAACAAACTCACTTTCTGTATTCAGGGGTGAGGCAAGGGTCAGGGAATCCTGGGTGCAGGATATTTTGGAGTGCCTACTTTGGTCGTGGCTGTTGCTCCCCCTCTCCACTCACTATTTTCTGTGTCCTCATATTTCTCACTAAAGGTCAGCTAAACACTATGGAAATTAATATTTACTAACATCTAGAGAAGTCTTGTTTCTACTTCGTCTAAATCAGTAAAAACGCAAATCAAATTTAATACACAGACAGCTGCATTTTTGTAATTTTTTTTTTTCATCGTATCCTTGCTGATGTTTGTGGACTATATTTTTCATAACGCTGCTCAACTAGCCTAAGTGCTGGCACTGCATTATGGGAGTGAAGTCCTTAAAAAAAATGTAGTGCCATAGCCACCACATTCCTGTCCCTTTTTTGCAAGTGACAGCATATGCATGTGTGACATGTGATGGAATTATCAGTTATGTGACTAGGAGCCTGCAAACTTGTTTTTGGTTCATTTGGAGTTATGTGAGAGGGATGTGCCATGTAACCTAGGTGGGGTCTGTAACATTGTGTAAATAAGTGGAGGGTGAGTGGTGGCTAAGGTTTGTGACAAAGTCAGGCAGTATAAATGAGTGGGAGGTGAATTGGGGCCTGCCAAAGGATCTTTGTTTGCATATAATTGAAATGTGATAGTTGTGTTCTAGGACAGTGGATTCAAACCCAGTTCTCCAGTACCCCCTACCAGTCCCGGATACAGTTATTACCCAGTTGTGTCTAAGGTGTTTTTAGAAGAAGAAGAAGAAGAAAAAAACACAACAGGGTAATCCCTAAATCCTGGACCGGTAGGGGGTACTTGAGAACTGGATTGGAAACCACTGTTCTAGGAGGCCAGGAAGGCGATGAGGAGTATTTGTCCAACTCATCTCAACAACATACCCTCCATTTCCCCATGTTAACTTTAACAGTTATTTCTGGGTGGCTACAGTAGGAGCCTAATATCTTGTTTTAAAGTCGTCCATTGACCAGAGGTGCTAGTTGCAGAGGATCTGGTACACCTGACCTCGCCTATTTTTGTGTCACAGCCTTACTCTTACTATCTAATCTATCTATCTAATCTATCTATCTAATCTATCTATCTAATCTATCTGTCTGTCTGATGCTGAATGATCCTAATTTATTTACAGTTTTAGGGAAGGGGCCATATAAACTGGTCAGTTACTTGGATCGGAGCCTTGTGTTGGCAGCCCGGATTTCGGATGGCCGTGTTTTTCCAGTGAGGGCAGAGTATCTAATTCCAGGAGATACAGTTAGCTTCATGCTGACTCCGGGGCTGTATAAACCCAAAGCACATGGTAAGATTACTCTTCGCGAATAGACAGTGCAGAGCCAACTCTGAATATTTTAACTGTTTGTGTAGCTCAGAGATGTTAGAATGCAATGTAATAAGAGAGAATTTCAAAAGAATGGCCAAAGGGTGGACATTTCAGCTAATGTGTCCACTTTATAAAATGTAAAAATAACAGCAGGCTTCTGCAATAAGAAAATAAATTGAAATACACTGTTCTGAAGAAATTTTTAGGACACAGTATAACCAAAACAGAGTGAGAGGCTTGCTAGCATAGTCATTATTATATTTATATTGTTTGATTGAGTGAGAGTGTGGTTCGTCCAGCTTCTGTTTTCAAACATTCTCCAGGCATCATCAATGGTCCAACAGACGTTCTTTTGGATCAACAACATAAAAAGATGTGTTTTAAAGGCTGAACTCGATGGACTTTAGCCTATTTTTGTTTTCAGCCTAGATTACTTTGTAACTATGTAACAAAGAATGAATATGTAATTGTCTGTCCTGCTGCTCTCCTGCTATTATTAGTCTCCCATTAAAAGTGTCAGTCCTACCTGATTGCAACAGAGAAGACGTTAAATGATATGGATTATCATGAAAAATGTGAGAAAACTTGCTAAACGACTGCCCCGAATACAAACAGAGAGCCTGTTCTAAAATCCACACCATTGATCCACTCCTGATGGACATTATTCTAACAAGACAAATTATTTTATCACAGAGCTCCATAACAGTAAACCTCTCAGTAATGTTCTAAATGTATGAATGTATCACAGAGCTCCACAAGAGTATAACACACAGTAATGCTCTCTATGTATATATATATATATATACCAATTATAATCATAGAAACGTACAATGTGCATAACTGTTTTACAGAGCACTGAGGAAACTGAACCCACATTAAAGGGAAACTATAGTGGCAGGAAAAAAAAATTCCTGGCACTATAGCTCTTTATAGTGCCCCCCACCGTGGTGCTGAAGGGGTTAAAATCTCCTTCTGTCATTTACCTTGTTCCAGGGTTGATGTCCCTCGTCACTGGTTCGGGTTCTGTCTCCGTTTCTCCCCCACCAACGTCAACAGGTTGGGGAGACCTAATGCGCATGTGCGGCAATGGCCGCGCTCGCATTAGGATTTCACCCATAGGAAAGCATGTATAATGCATAGCATGAGGACGTCCAGCTTCAGTTAGGTGACCAAAAATCGCATAATGACCCGACACCCACTAGAGGTGGAGTTAACCCCCAGTGGTAATTATTGCAGGTTTTAATAAACCTTTGCAATAATAATTGCAAAAAGAGTAAATTACCTTTGCAGGGTTAAGGGACCTGGGACCATGCACCCATTAGACTTCAATGAGCTGAAGTGGTCTGGGTGGCTATAGTGTCCCTTATGTTAAGGGAGTACAAGGCTATAAATGAAACACACACTAATTCTCTGTGTATGATTATGTTAATGAATTCCTCTGTAATAAACCTCAAAGTAATGTGTACTGTGTATGTGTATAACACAGAGTACCACAGCAGTAAAACACACAGTAATACTCTCTATGTGTGAATGTATCACAGAGCTTCATAGCAATAAAACTCACAGTAATGTACAGTGTACATGGGTGTATCACAGAGAATTGCAGAAACTGAACTCACAAAGCTAAAAAAGAGACCCACAGTTAAACTCTCTATGTATGAGTGTATCACTAAATATGTGTACTGTGTCAGAGTTCCACATCAGTATAACTCACACTAATGTGAATTGTGTATTCATATATCACAGAACTCCACAGCAATAAAACTTGTAGCAGGGTATGGTGTGTGGATCACAGAGTTCTAAATCAATAAAACTCACAGTAATGTGCACTGCTTAAGAGTGTATCACAGAGCTCCATAACAACAAAGCTGACAGCACTTTTGAATTCTGTACATTCTAGTGTTTAGTGAGCACACATCTAGAAATTGTCACAGTTACAGAACTACCTTAATGCCATTTGTTGAATGTGTCATTATCTGATATTTTCCCTTTTTCCCCAGACAGAAACTTGGTGTCCCTGGAGCTGGCGGAACGTCCTAACTATTTTCTTCATTTAGGCAAAAATGGTAGCTTTTTAATATCTAAATGGCAAAAAAATGAGGAGTTTCACAGTAGATCCACGTTCATCGTTCACAAAAATTCTTGGATTTCTGGGTACAGCGCCTTTGAATGTTTCGCCAAACAGGGGTACTTTCTACGCATTTCATTTTCAAATATTTATCTGACAAGATATCACCACTCTGCAGCATTCAGACTTTCTTCTCTCTTCAAACTTACAGGTAAACTTAATTTTTACAAACTCATAATTTTATGTATTTATATTTGTGTGAAGTGCTTTTGCAAATTTAAAAATTGGTGGATAAATCCTATATTTTCATATAAGATAGGAAATTGATGTGGAGGAAAACTGTGATTGATGCTGCTTCATGCAGGTACATGTTGCCTTTGAACACAAAATAATTTGCATCTGCTCAAAGTAAATTGGAGCAAACTCTACTGTCTGAGAGTTATTGAGTCAATCCTCTATAATTTAATTCTTATACCTAGTTTCTTCATAGCACTCTTGTCTGAAATGCTATTTCTTTTACTGAAATATTCTTGTCTCATTTTTTCCTACTGCTATGGAAATGTTTTTTTTTTTAAATTAGACTCGTGCATGGTGAAAAAAAAATTGGTTAGTCCAAACGATTTTGTTTCATTCGATTTGAGCTTTGTCCATGTGACGTTTCGGTACTGACGAATTTCGTCCATGCAATCAGGCAAATCGATTCGGATGAACCAATATCGTGCAAACCTTTTTTGCAGTGTCCTCGAAATATAAGTATTGTGCATATATTTAGCAGTACTCTAATTTGGTTCATATAGCAATTGCAAAGAAGTGACCAAAATTATACTTTTACAAAACATATAATATAAGAATTTTTCCCCTATATTGGTCACTTATTCTCACTTGATCTGCGACCATTCAGTTTTCGGAGTTCGGGCTTTCAGACGAATTGCTGATCGCCCCCAATTTGGACAAATTGCAATTTGATTGAACCCTAATTCACAATTCTATTGTAAATGCCTTATATAAGCATGTGGCGAAAGTAACCTCGCCACGGGCTCCTGCAGGAGCCTGCTTGACAGTCTCTTGCCCCAGGACTATGGGCCCTGTAAAAGCCAAATGAAAAGACTTGGTTCGTGCCATTCTTCTATGCTGTTCCGGAACCATGACCACCCGGGAGCTTGTTAAGCCCTCTCATCATCTCTTAACGATTCTTACCTCAGTGTTCTAACTGTTCGTCTGGGTGGCCACAGTTCGTATGAATGACCACGAGGTGGCGGCCATCTTGTTCCCGCAAACACAGGCAGTGGTGTTTGGGTGTCGAGCTCATGGAACTCAAATCGGACACTGAAACTCCCAAACACCTCTAAACTTCCATCATCGCCTGCGTTCGTTTCTACAGCACCTGGAAGGGCACTGTCAAGCTTCATGGTATGACTATTGACTATGTTCGGTAGTTTGTAAAACTACCAAACTTGACTGACCGCTACCACTTTTTCCCTGGAACTGTTTTGGGCATAGGACCATGGGTGCCGTCGGTCAAATTATGACTTCCATGAAAAACCCCTGAACACCTGAACCAATCTGGGTGATTTTTGGATATGTTGGTCACCCAAATCGGTGCTATCAGCGGATGTGGCTTTTGTTGGGTTTTTATGTGGTTTAGGGGTATTTTTGGGGTGTTTGTAAATTGTATGCTTTTCTGTACCTGGAGATAATTGAGTTTGTACAGTTCCTGACTCAATTATCTCTCAGGCACAGGGGAGGAGTTTGTGACTACTTCCCAGCGTTAAGCCTTGGCTCATGTATGGGTGGGATTGCTATACTGCTCTTTGGATTAGGATACCTGCTATATTCTCTTGGAGGAGAGGTCTTCCCACTTGGAGCTGGATCTAAGTGTTGGTCCAGGGTGGGAAGGGGTGGTGATATCCCAGCCAAGCTGCAGCGGCAAAGGGGGATACCGTGATTATGGTGTCTGCTGTGGTGCTTATAGTACTTGGCGAGCACTAGGAAGCGTGATTGGGGGAGGTACTCAGTCAGAGTGCCTGGCAGTCCACCACAAAGCACACCTCCCAAATGTCCTGGAACTGGCAAAAAACTGCAAAAAAAACCTCTATAGCAATAGAGTAGAAATACAGTGTAGGGCGCAACTCTCACAACCAAAGTCGTGGATATAATTACCATCTAGAAGATGAGTATGTTGAACTCACATGAAAATAGAAAGAAAATAATATAGTGCAAAAACTTTAATAACAAGAGATAAAAACTAAATAAAATGGGACACTCACAAATGTCGTGGCACCATTGAGATTAATAAATATGTGCAAAAGCGTTTTTGCCTCAAATCGGCTGTTTCTCCAGGTACAGCAGTCTTAAATGGTGGTATAGAGCTTCAACGATCTTTCTTCACTGACCGCCGGTTAGATGGAACCGTTCTTATACTTCCAGCCGCTGTAATCCTTTCGGGGTTCAGAAAATACTCAACGCGTTTCATCTTGATCAGCAGACTTCGTCAGGAATTCCCATCCTCCTTACATCTCATTACTAATTCCAACTTTTTTGCTGTGTGGTAGGAGAGAAGAGGGGGCTACCATTTCAAGTCCCCTTATTGTCATGCATAGCTAAATAATAGCTATGCTTTCAATTTCAATTTCTTACTGAAAAATAGAAGGGTGTGAGGCTGACTGTGCTAATTGTGTATTTGCATTGCTCTGAAAGGATAAATTAAAGTAAAAATGTGCATGAATTTAAGGTAGTCATGGGTTGGTACTTGGTTTTTAATTCTTTCACTATAGGGTGAATTTGTTGCAGTTAAGAATAAATAAATAAATAAATAAATACATAAATACATAAACACATAAATAAATAAAATCTTACCATATTAGTGTGTACAGAGATATGTTTCTCCCTGAACCTTTTTGGCTTCTAGGATACAACTCCGTTACTTGTAAGCCTCTAAGTCTCCAATGCAGTAAGGATAGAAAAAGGGTGGACTTTTAAAGTGCATTTTTACTATGAAAAGAGATTGAATGGAATCGTGAAGGAGAAGAAGAAAGGACAGAACATGAGTGGGAGATTATTCTCTAGATTTTGTTTTGTGTTGCTTGACAAGTCAAAACAAAATCTGTTTTAAATTGTGGAGTAAAGCGTTACTAGCACAGTGAAACATCTCATTATAATGTTTACCTACAATCTCTGCATCCCTAGAGAAAACACCTTTGCTTCTGATATATATAGATAATTTTTTTTAATAGAAAACTAGGTTTACCATTTAATTGAAAAGCAAGATGCTTAAAGAGGCTCTGTCATCTTCTGGGATATTTGCCTATATTGCAAAGTGTGGTGGCCCAGGGATGCAGCAATGCTAAGTTGTACTCACCTGTACAGTCCCCTGCAGGCACTGCCCCGTTCAATTTTTAGCTCTTGGTGCCTCATCCACCAGGAGCCATCGTCAGTGCTGTATGTTTGCATATGTACAAGAGCAGAACTTTGATGTCTGTAAGTGATCCCGCATAGATATTATCTCGTGATGAGCGAGACCATGCCTTACTTCCACAAGTCAATACTTTGTCTTAAGATATCTTTTGAGTGGGTTGGAATTAGTCTTAATTTATCTTAATTTGTGCATAGACTGCTCTTCAGGGATGACGTATGCATGGGTGAACCAAGGTTCAGTGACACCTGGGTCCTGCAATGTTTTGGTGCCCCTGTGGACTTTTATAATTAAACTCCCTAAATTTTCACCTCCTTTTACTTCTCTTTTTTTTATACTTCACAGCCATTTCTCAATAAAGGCATGATAACCATCATAGTAAAAATAGTGAGTCTTTCCCATTTAGCCGGACAGTAAAATAATACATTCAAACACCCAAATAATTTAGTAGATATACACACTTATGTTAAACTACATGATTCTAAAAGTAACCATGACATACTAAGAATTCACATATATATTTTCTGAGCTCAATACGAACATTATGACTGTATGTGGGCGTTATAATGTGTGTAGTTATATTTTAGATGATGAATTAAGGTAAAAAAATGTATAATTTCAATGTCACTTCTTTTGAATTTCCTTTGCATTCCAAGACATGTACATGTAATAGACTTAGCATGATCTGTTTGAACCATTAGAACGTTTGGTTAACAAACTGTTAAGTCGATAAGACAGCAGTGCGTCTGTTAACCTGAATAAAACACAGTTCTGTATGATACAAGCTCCCAGCTGTTCTCTTATTCTAGCCATCAAGGATAGTGTTAAGGATGCAATTGTGTTTTTTAAAGGATCGTGAGGCCAGACTGGTGCAGCTGTTACATGGCACACTCCGATCTTGCAAAAATGACAGATTTTGTCATTGGCAAATCCCCAACGTCTCTCGGCCAAGCACTTTAATCATGGACTCGCACCACATCGAATGCTGTATGTTAACGGAACCTTTAATGCACATATCTGGTAATTTACAAAGTAAACAAAATGTAGTGCTAGATTTTGTGCTTTTAAAGATGTAGATCTTATTGTCACATACCTCCTAACATTGCATATTCGCAAAGAGGGACACTTCAGTTTTAGAGGTGTGATTTGGGGTGGCGCCAGGGGCTGGATCTTCTGAGAAACTTTAGGTGACTTACAACATAAATGCTATATACAACAGGTACAACACATCTCATTCACACAGACTGATTTCTAAACACGTTTATTGTAGTTTAAAGACACATTACTGGGAGTATTATTGCTGTGGAGCTCTGTTATACACTCAGACACATTACTGGGAGTATTATTGCTGTGGAGCTCTGTTATACACTCAGACACATTACTGGAAGTATTATTGCTGTGGAGCTCTGTTATACACTCAGACACATTACTGGGAGTATTATTGCTGTGGAGCTCTGTTATACACTCAGACACATTACTGGGAGTATTATTGCTGTGGAGCTCTGTTATACACTCAGACACGCCAACAATATGGAGCTCATAGAAAAGAGGGACAGGTGGATTAGGGTCCAAAATAAGGACTGTCTCTCCTAAATAGGGACACTTGGGAGGTTTGTTGTCAGATTTAGAATATCCATGTAAAGTGTTTGCACTAAGCACTATCTACATACATGGTAGCCTATTCATGGATCTGCAATTTATGGAGAACTCCAATTGACGTGAACATTTTAGGCAAAAAGAGCAAAGCATCAAAATTGTTATTTTGGAGATTTTTCCCAATTTGTTTAGTATAGCCTAAATTCTGCCCTTGCTTTGTCAGTTCTCTGTAGTTAAAGGGAAACTATTGTGCCAGGAAACAAAGTTGTTTTCCTGCCACCATGGCTCCCTATAGTACTCCCCTCCCTGGCGCCTCTCCCCCCTTTTGTGCAGGAGGGGTTGGAATCACTTACCTGATTCCAGCGCTGATGTCCCTGGGTGCTGGTTCAGGCTCTGCCTCTGCTCCTTTTCCCCTCTGCCATCATAACCCAGTGGGTGGGACCTAATGCGCATGCGCGGCAAGCGCCACAGTCGCGTTAAGACTTCCGCGATAGGAAAGCATTGTATAATGCTTTCCTACGGGGGTTTGCGTGATGCTTGATGTACTCGTGCAGAGCGTTAGGATGTCCAGTGTCAGTTAGGCGACCAAAAGTCGCCTAACAACCTGGAAGTCCCACTAGCGGTGGAGTTAACGCTGCAATGTAATTATTGCAGTTTATCAAAAATGTCATAATTACTATTGCAGGGTTAAAGGGACCTGGGACACTACAACCAGACCACCTGAGCAGTCTGGGTGCCTAAAGTGTCCCTTTAATAAATAAGCCCTATTGTACTTTTTCAAGATATCCATGTTGTCTGTAGAAACCAGCAACAGCAAATCTCCTCTTAGCTTTGTAGGCAACAACAGAAAAACAGCAATAAAAATAAATCCATTTCATGAGCTCAGCATGTAGAATTGGGCCAGAAATGATTGTGAGACATTTCATTAATCACTCAGTCAAGGATTGCATTTCAGAACGTTATAAGCCCCGGAATTGAATGTTTCTCAAACTTGCCTTTGGAGGGTTCAGGCTGCTCATGCAGGGTAATTACATGTTCTAAAAATACGCCAGCATTTATTTAAGTTAATGGAAAAGTTACACCAGTTACAGAGTGCAAAGGAAAGACATATTGAGTTTCTTGCTGACTGTTGTAAATACCGTGTATGTTAGATCAGAAAAGTTTGGAAGGTGGGGGGTGGGGGATGGGGTAAATGTTGGGTAGAGAATAATGCGTTCCAGAAAGGTCCCACTAGTGTCACAAGCTTGCCAGTCAATGACGCACTTAAAAAAAAAAAAAAATAAAGCGCAATGGTATTTCCAATGACAGTGTGAATACCGTCCTAGTGACATTGGTTAGAGATGAACGGGATATTTCTGTCCTTGTTAACCTTTTAAGGATTAAGGGCATTTATGACATCATCACATATATCTGTCTGTCTATCGGTCAATTATTTTAGACTCCATATGTCTATTTCGTTACCTATATGCCTGTTGTCACAAATACTGTTGATTAGATAGATTTGTGTCAATTTGAGCCACAGCTGTGAGGTCCGATTTTGTCACCTATTATAAATGGTTCCTACACCTGAATCAGCTCGTTAGCAAACAGGCATTCCAAGATTTATATGGCTATTAACCCCTTAGCGACCGAGGACGGTTCAGGACCGTCATCGGCATTTTTGCCTTGAGGACCGATGACGGTCCTGAACCGTCCTAACGGTCTCCGTTACTTACCTGATCGCCGTCGTTCCCCCGTCGGCGATCAGCGTGGCTCCGGTTGTGGGGAGACTGCCTGCAGCCCAGACAGTCTCCCCACACTGAATTAGGACCCCTGTGGCCATGTGATCGCTTAACACAGTGATCACATGGTCACAATAGGTGTCCATGTGTCTGCCTGCAGGGGGACTGTGTGTGCTGACAGGCAGTCTCCCTGCTAGTGTAAAATCAGAAAAAAAAATAAAGTTAGTGTTAATAAAAAATAAAAAAAATTATATATGTGTATATATGATATATAGACATATATTATATGTTTATAATATATGTCTATATATCATATATATATAATGCCATACTAAGTGTATTTTTATATTAATATGTACTTATATTAATATAAAAATACACTTATAATTAAATTATACACGTATATATATAATATATATAATAACTATATATATTGTATATATATATTATTATAAAATATAAATAATAAGTAATTTAAATTAAATAAAAAATTTTTAAAATAATAATAAAAAAATAAAAATTTTTTTATATCTATATGAAATTTTATTCTAACTGTATTTTAAAATTAATATATGAATATTTATATCAAAATACACTTAGAATGAATTTGTATATATATCTATGTATATAAAAATAAATAAAAATAATAAGAAATATACATATGTCCATATACAAAATTTCATAAATAATTATATAAATATACACGTAGACTTCAAATATATAAATATGCATATATATTTAAATTCTACGTGCGTATTTATGTAATAGTTTTACATAATTCAGTAATTTTATTGATTGCAATTTAAGGGACCTGCCTGCCAAC